ACAATTAAGCAAGGGGAGGGGAGAAGGCGAAAGGGAAGCTAGGAAAACCCTTGTGTGGTTTGTGCGGCTTGATTAAGAAGTTTTCGTTTTATAAATGATACAAGCGCCAGCAAATTATTCAAACTAATTGGTTCAAAGACCGATGGCGTGGCGGGGATTTTTCTTACTTTAAGCAGCAGCTCTGAAGAAACCCTTTTGAAATTTAAGGATCAGATATGAGAGATGAGATGAGATAAGATACCGAGTGGCCATTAATTATGAGGGATTTATAATTAGGCAAAGTGCAGCCTTAAATTTAAGATGCTTCAATTGTATATATGACGAGTCAATATATAAAAATGTTACCCAAAGTCCGCTCTTAGTGACCCTTAGTAATCATCTAAATTAAAGTCTATGGCCAAAAGGTGTCGATTTCTGTGCTTCAATATGCCAGTAAGTAAAACCCAAAGCATTACGAGCACAATCAAACAACAAAGCAAAGTTCTCCGCTTAACTTCATTAACATATCTCGAACAGCAAGTTGAACAATCTGAAAGTCTCGCAAAGTTCCTAAATGAGCTGAAAGTCTTATTCAATGCTTCGTGAATTTTCGAGAAATATGCAAATTACGCACACTTTATACTGATGTCTCATCTAATTAGACTTTCCACGGCAAAAGTTTTTTACTGGGAAAGCTGCTCGCAAATTGCTTCAAATTGGAAAACATTGTCGAAAGGTCAGGCCACTTCTCGGACACTGGACAACTTTGACTGGGACCAAATCAATGTTTGCCCTGCTCTCGTGGGTCAAAACCTGGGGATATTGATATGCTTTTGTCCCCTTTCTGAAAGATAAATCTAAATGTCTATCTAATCAATAAATAATTGCCATTTTCTGTTTGGTAAAAATATCCATTTCATTGAAACCGTACGCAATCCATAGACAAATCCAAGATAAGCCAATTGTAAACAAAAACCGAAACACCGAAAAAGGTTTTCCTCTCCTTTACCCAACAAAACCAGAGCACCAAAATTTGTTAGAAACAAAAAAAAAACCAAACCAAATGAAATGAAATACTTTCGAATGACAAATACGAATTTTCGTGATGGAATCCATTGTTTGTAGCAGTCGTCGTCGTCGTCGTTGTCGTCGTCGTCGTCCCTCCCTTTCGATGGGAAATGAACTTGTTATTTAAGATTGTGTGAGAGTGTAGGGTGTTTGTGTGAGTGGGGAAAAGCGAAAATAATGCATTTGTATTGGGGGGGAAAACTCTGTGTGGAGTCGACACGACTTCAGCACAAATTTAATATTGTAAATGGAAAGCCCGAAAGGGCAGGAGAAAGGAAGAAACTCTGGCAACAGGAGCAGGAGCAGAGTAGTCGAACCGGGAGCCAAAGCTGTGTCAGCGTGAGTGCGTGGCCCAGGAGAGTGGAAAATTTCGTGTAAAGTGTCCTGGCACTTAACCGTACAATTGATTTCTGACAAATACGCTGCTGCTGTTGCTGCTGCTGATGCTCACCTTTCGCTGCGATGTTGGTGGCCCCTCGCTGTTGTTGCCACAGCTGACGACAGGGTGTCAACAATGACAGGGGTTACCGAACGCGAAATCAAACTATGCAAATGAAGCCCCCGCCCCCAACGCACAATCAGCCTCAGCGCCTGACCCTTGACCCAGTCGTGACCCAACGCAGCACAGCTTTAAACGACTAAAAAGATACCCGATATTTGGGAACTCTACTTAGATTAGAAGAAACAATAATGGTGTTGAAACCAATGAATTAAATTAGAACAGAAACAGAATATTTAAATATTAAATATGATTTAAGATAGGTAAACTCCTCTCATATATTCCATTTCAATCTCTGTATTTCTCTCGAGATTCTGATATCTGTACTAATTCATATAGATTCATGGTCATAAACAACCTTCTTCGTCGCAACTGCAGGGTATTACAATCGCAAAATAACCTTAATCACAAGCGACTGCGTTCGAGGTGTGTGGCTGTCACTAAATGAAATAAATGCAAATTTCATAAATGAAGTAAAGAGACACACAATTGGCAGATCGCTCTGCTCAGGCGTTGCTCATTGGCCCGCTCATTGGTCACACATCACAGGGACAGGCCATCAATTTATCATCAATATTAAAATGCAATTACAGTTCGCCAACTGGCAGAGGGGTATAAATAATCGTATGAAAAATTAACCATCGAGTTGTGCTAAACGATGGCCTGGCCTCGAAACTGCAGATAACTTGATTTTCATACAAATTCAACTCGGTTCTGGTTGTGTCCTGGTATGCTGTTTTTCTCCTGGTTTGCCACTGTTTTTCTCCTGGTTTACCACTGGTTTTCTCATGGTTTTGCCCGTTGCTTTTCGCCTTATGTACCCCGCTGTGTCCTCGCCTGAAAGTATGCCAGGGATTTGTGCCACGGTAGAAATGCGATGCTCCGTCGGGTTTTAGTGGCTTTGCTGTTGGCATTGCTGAGGGACAGCGTTTGCTCAACATTTATTCGGGGATCAGATTCGTTTTGGTTAGTTATACTGCAATTGTGGGGTAGTCACCCACAAAGCCAAGAGAAGTTGTGTTGTTAATTCCATTTTGATATCTGGGAAATGTCAGGGAAAACTCCGCAACTAACTGCACTACCCAAACATAAAACAACAGCCAAACTGTTTAGATTCAACAGCATTTGTTGAAAAACCATACATGAGAATGCGTATTCTTGGAAGGCTTTAACGAGTCAAGGAGTGAGTGAACGAGTAAAGAAAATTCAATTATCCATGTGTCAAAAACAACTTTTCCCACAATTTACAGCTGCTTGACGCTTCTACAACTTCTTACTGAAGCTGAGGGGTGAAAATAAATCAGCTGAAGCAAACAATATTACACTTTTCCAGCTGTCCGCCTAGAAGAGATGTTCGAGGGTGTAGGCAGAGGAACAAGGAAGCTTACCTTGGCTGCAACGAGAGCTTCAATTTCAGACAAAAGCCTCTGAAATTTAAGCCTCAAACGACGTACTCTCCACAGCTCTGGCATACATATTTCGGAAAACTAAAGCAACTGTTTCGATAACAAAACTCACATATTTCTTGTATGAGAGGTCAGCAAGCTCTCCACAAATGCTCTTTCCCCAAAAGTTATTCTCTGTTTGGGTCCATTAATGGCCACAGCAGATAAAGCAAGTGCTTCTGATCCTTAAATGTTTATACAAATTTATGTGAAAACTAAAGATTATACAGCACTATAAAACTGTTGCACTTTCAAAATGTGTCCCACCAACTGGCGTGCGGCCACTCTTAAGGTAAATTTATGGGTGAAACTTAATATCACAGCATCATAACGAAACCCCTACGAACACCATTAATTCAAAGTCTTTACGACTTTTGCAATTTAACTATCTATGAGTATTATAAATTATAGTAAAGGCAAGCCATGGAGCTCAGAAATTTGTCTGCCTGGTATACCGGGAAAAATAGGTATAGATTTTGTGAAGCTCCATCTGGAGCTTCGCATGGATATATGCAGGAATATTTCATAATATAAACTCTTATTCAAATAATTCGTAGCAATTCCCTAGTGGTGGTCTACTGCATTAAAATTTGTTTGAATTTAGCTAGGTAATAAACCAAATTATGCTTTACCCATAATTTGATTATTTTGAAAGAGAAATAATGTATGCTATAGCCAAACATTTTTTGTTGATTTAAAAAGGAAAATAATAAACTCTGTCCTAACTTTCCTGTAAATTGTATACGCAAGACTAACAAATTTGTATCCCAACTTTAAATCTGTATAAATTGAGCAAAGAATGTAATGCGCTGCATCCGAAAATATGTATAAATTTAAGGAGCAACAAAGTTGGGCGATACCTGAAATGTAAATATGTATTATAGATTTAAGTAGAAACATACCATAATATGCCAGACCTAAATTTGTGTAAATTGAGGGAGCAATTTAATGCGCTAGACCCAAAATTTTTGTATAAATTTAAGGATCAACAAAATATGGTAAGCCGCCAAATTAGCATAAATTTAAGAATCGGCACAGAAATATACATAACAATTGGATACGTATAAATTAAGGTTGTATGCCAATATTCGTATGCCACCACTCATAGTTCTGTTTGTATAAATTTCCAAATGAACATCACACACGATACAGATACGGACACAGATACAGATACAGATGTCAAGTGTCGAATTCCGAAAACGATTCATTAGTTTGGTTCAGCGAAACGTAATGCCAATGGCACGACGAGTTTTCACAGTTTCGCATGACCAATCGATGGATAAAGCCTACCCCAAACCGCAGAGAGATACCCCTTAGCGAACCGCAGTTCCAGTTACAATTACCTTTGGCAGGCGTGTTACAATCGTTTCAATATTTGTCAGGGAAAATGGTCATTAATATTGCAGGACGGGTTCAAGTGGAGCAGCGTTAACAGCAGACCAGTGCACTGGTGGTAGGAGTCGTGGCTAATAATAAAGAGTTCCAAAAATAAAAGCCACAGCTCCTCACACCTAATCGAGTTGGGGGACCCGCACCCAGCAGCAGCATCAGCAGCAGCAGCAACAGCAGAGGCAGCAGTTGAAGCTGTAGATGAAGCTACTTCAGCTCTAGCACTTTGTCGACTTTTCTCCGCTTACCGCTCTCTCTCTCTCTCACTCACTACTCTTCATCAAATCTTTCCCCAGACCTCTCACTAGAGCTTATGTATAATGCATGGCATCGGTCCGACGTCCGAGGTCCGTGGTCCCTGGCCCCTGGTCCATGGTCCATGGCTGAGTTGTAAACGTAACCAGGCAACGCAGCCACGATGCCAGACTGGTCTTAATCGGAGGAGGAGTACCACTGGAGTGCCAGTGCCAGTGCAAAACTTGAGCGGCCACGGGGGGCACACAAAAACTGTCAGCGTCATCGCTATTGCGGCCCGGCACTTGGCTTTTAATATTCAAAATAGGAAAATTGGCAAAACCCAAGCGGCCGACCAAATAAACCAAAAAAAAAAAAAAACCAACCTAAAATCGCCGAATGCACAGAAATAACATCATACTGGGAAAATGCCGCCGCCACCGCTGTCAGACGTTGTTGAAGCACAAGAAATTTATATTTATATTTTGCTCCCAGACGAGACGCGAATTTTCTTTGTGGATTTCTTGCGTTTTTTATTTTGCTTCTTTTGGCTGGATTGATGGACAATTGTCGACCGAAATTGTCCCAAAAGTCCCAGAGTACGCAAATACACAAAGAGTGCCACGGAATTGACGGAGCCACCGAACTGACGCCGCCAACGAATGGTTTCCGGAGGAGAAACGGAGGAGACTTACACGTCGCGCAGTCGAAATTCAACTAAAATGCTTGAAAACTCCGGACAGGCAGAAAGGCAGTCATCGGCATCGACATCAGGCAGGCAGCAAGCAGCCAGCCAGCAGGCCGGTGGCAGGCAACAGCCAGTAGACCAGGCTGTGGCAGAGGCAAATACAAGAGACCAGAGACCCAGACCAGACCGGCAACACAGAGTCAGCAGTGGCAGCAGAGACATCCCGTACCCCCAACTGGAGAGGCAGAGAGTGCCCCCAGAGAGCGGCAGAGACATGAGACTTTCTTTTGCGGAGCAATGCAAAATAGCCAAATAGCTACAGAGAAATTTGGCCAACTGGAGAGAGAAATAGAGAGAGAGAGACACAGAGAGAGAGATTGTGGCAGAGAGCAAGCTTCATTGAGGAATTTCAATCGAAGGAGAAAGAGATTGATTGGGAGAGAGAGAGAGAGAGAGAGAGAGAGAGCTTTTTCCAGCGCCACCACCACAACTCTCACCGCGCAACGAAAAGAAAAACTGGAAAACTCTGCAAAATTGTCGGCAAAAATATAGTAACGCTTTTTGTTCATGTTTTTCACTTGCTCCCCCACAACATTCCATCGAGAGAGCAGCAGCCAAGAGTCGGGAGCTCTACACTCATAAGATTACAATATAATTGTACCACCAGGCATGCACCCTAGACATGCCACAGACCGAAGGCGCACCACTATCCTCACTATCCTCGGGCATAATTTCCTCTGGTCTTGTAATTGAAATTTCATGGATTATTACATTCCCAGACATTCAACTCCGAAAAACTTTTCGAACAAAACTATAGAAACATTTTTGGAGAGCAGAGTGGATGCCACTCTTTGGTTGCCACCCACCCGGGTATCATCCTCCGGGAAACCAACTGTTGATCGGAGTGCCCCGAGGGGGAAACTTTTGGATTGAATGGATGGATTCCCCTAGCTTAGCATGGGAATTTTCAGTGTGCTCTTATGAATAGTACAAGTAGTATGGGTAGCTTTCAAAGGGCTTTGGCTCTGGCTCTTGTTAATGAAGCGCTTTATTGGCCCACAGCCAACGGCCGAAAGAGGTGAATGGAGTCTCGGACTCGCCCCGGACTCACTTCCACTTGGTTGGGTCTGCTCTGCTCTCCCCATCGGTACGATGTGCTACGATGGAAGGTCAGGCCCTCGGGGGCTAGCGTTTCTTTCGCTTTTTGTGTGGTGCCGTCGAGAGAGTTGAGACCGTTTGAGTTGTTATTGCAATAGCAAATTTTGGTAATGAAATCGAAACAAATACCGAAAGTGGTCATAAAGCGGTTCCCCAAACGCCAGCTGGGGTCGAATATTAAGCAGTCCACTGTGGAGGAGGTTTAACAATGTACAATGTACGTACTCTGTAGCTGACCAGCTTTGGCTTTGGCAGTTGGTGGAAGATTGTGGCCAAAATGTTTTTGGTTAAGGGAATGGTAAAGGTCAGATGCTATCGGAGTCGGTGATTGCTGGGTTTCAATGGCCGCAAAGTCGGTGGGTATTTGTTCGAGACCCTAACATTTCGAAGCTTAGAAATACACTGACTTTTGGTAGGTCTCAATGTTCCATTAAGCTGTAACTAAACGTCGAGAGATAAATAAATTAATAATAATAAATGATAAATAATTATAAAATATCTCTTAGCCGCCAAAAGAACTCGAAAGTCTATAATTTCTATTATTTCATGATATATTCAATGCCTTCCTTTACCCATTAAAAAATGCTTTGAATTGCTTGTTTTTTTTTTGGTGTTCAATAGTTTTCTTTATTGCAATTTCTTGTATTTTCTGAAATTCATATATATGTATAGTGTATATATATATATTTTCAATTATATATATATAAATGTATATATAATTAATTTAATTTTTTTGTTCATGAATTATTGAGAGAACAATTTTGTTTGTTGTTTAGTATTCAAATAGTATACAATTTGCTTAACTATACAATAATTAAAAAACAGTTTTTCGAAATCATACGCGAGAGAACGGAAACCAAAAGACTAAAACCAAAAAAAAACAACGATATGAACAATGGTTTGGGTTTTCTTCATTCAAATAGCTTGCAATATTTAATATTAATTTAGTTATTATTATTATTAATGCTCTTCATTGTAAAAACTTAACAAATGTTTTGCAAACTTCGTTTATTTGTTGCCTTTCGATCTTTATTTATTTGTGTTTCCATTTGTGCATAGCGCGTTTTTCCGTTCTTTCGTTTTTCCATGGGGTTTTGTTGCTAGTTTTTTATCGTTCTTAAGTATGCTTATGTGTAGATGCAGATGAAGGCGTAATGATCGCCGAGAGATATATTTAAAATGTACAAGAGAATTAGCTAATGAAAGTACTTGTAAAATCAAAAAACCAAAACCTGCGGTAAAAGTATTTCAAAAGTATTTGTTTTTATAGACCGCACAGTTAGGGGTACCATACCCCACAGCAATTTGTAAACTTTTTTTACTGCAAATCCAAGCGGGAAAAGTGGGAAATTGTCTGCATTCTTTGTTTGCTTTAAACAAGTTATTTGCAAGTTATTTAACTCGTTGAAATCCTCAAAATGCCCCTCATATTTGCTGGAAACACTCCTGTTCCTCCATTCCCTCTGAGAATAATTGCAGCGATTTTTCACCCCGAAGTAATCCCGCATGTTAGTCACTGAGTGAATGATGAGCAAAAAAGTGCCAACTTCTGGAAAATTTCGTTTGTTTTTCTCAACTTTCAAGTTCTTTGCCCGAAAAGTTTCTCGTCTTTCGAATGTTTTGATTGAAGCCAACAATGAAGATGAAGACGAGTTTCGCGTACACCTTCTCTATATATTTATATAGTTTTTTTTTTGTGGGTGGAGACGGTAGGGGCAAAAGTTAAAGTTAACACGTGCCTGAGACTTGAATGAAGCATGAGTGTGCTTTTTGATTGGCTTTTGGTTTTCTATTTAATTAGGCAATGGCGTAAAGCGTCGCTAACTGCATTTTAGATGAACTTAAAGCTTTCAAACCACAACTCCCACATGCCACATTTGGGGCAGCAGAGTCATTACACAACGCATAAGGAACTGGCAAACCGAGTTATAAAGCATCTATGTTTTATATACATTCTTCTCCGTTTTTTTTGGGATTTACTATCTCTATGGCTTGTGTAAAAAATAGTTTATTATTAAGCTTTTATTTGGGGGGGAGGCAGGCGAAACATTTCCCTTTTGGGGCTTAAGAACTTATGCTTTTCGGTTTTGTCTTCGTTTTGTCAAGCAATTTGTTTGTTGTATTATCTATGTATAGTTTTGGGTTAGGTATGAGATCCCATATGTATGGGATGTTATGGGTATGTTATGGGTATGCTAGGAAATAAAATTAGAAATTGATATGAGCGAAATAAGACGATCTATGATTCATCTGAAAAATTCCTAGAGGAAATAATGATGATCTACGATCATGTATTGCTGCTTAGATTTGATTGGTTCTTTTTATAGAATTGAGACCTCATTTGAAGAAACACAAGGATGATCTAGGATCATTAAATATATCTCTAATTTCTTTGCTCCGAACGAAGCTCTTCTTAGATCCTTTGACTGAAGCTGAAACTATAGATCGGATTTATGTGAGAACCCAAGCGAATAGCCGATATGTCTTGAATGAAACATTGTTTTCTTTTGACAGATTGAAACATGATATGATTTGGTACCCAAAGATGATTCGTTGGATCCTTGGATCCTTGTGTCGATCTTAGAATTCTTCGAGAATGAACTCTGAGAACTCTGAATACGTATGCGAAGGATAGCCTTAGATTGCGATTAGATATTGCTTAGATGGTGGATAGAGGATCATTGAGTGGCCTTTGAGCCTTGGCTGCCTTTGCCTTTAGAGGAAGGCCTTCTTGCTGGTCTCCAGACTGGTGTTGCCTGTGGCTGTAGCTGTGGTGGTGGTGGTGGAAATGCCGCTGTCCTTGCCCACACTGGCGGTGGTGGATACCGCATTGGTTGGTGGCACAATAGGTGCCACTATGGTGGTGGTTGTGACTCCAACGCCCACTGCCGTTGTCGCTGCTGTGGCTGCACCGCCATGGGTCGTGGTGCTGGCCAGGGGTGACGGTGTGGCCGCCAGCTGGGTGGGGAATCGTGGCTGAAATGACGGCTTGCCCATGGCCAAGGCCGGATTCAAATCGAGCATTGTGCGCGGACTCATCGCCACGATGCTGGCGCCCAGTGGACCTGCGAAGAGTTGAGCAACTATTTGTGTTAAGGCCGCCGCAAAAGATATTATCATATTTTGAGGTAGGTAGGAAATAGGTAGGATATAGCCGGAAAAGATAGATATAGAATGAGAGAGAGAGAGAAGAAAGAAAAGAGAGAGAGAGAGAAATAAATATTATTTTCATTGTTTTTCATCAAAAGCTGAGATTCCAAATTCGTTTGGGTTTTTTTTTTATCGCATTTCAAGAGGGACACAACTTTATTTTTTGATTACTGGGTGCACTTTTTGGTTACTACAATACAAGAGGGGGGGAGGTGGTGTTTTGTTGGGTTGTGGGGTGGGGGTGGGGGTGGGGTGAACACATACACATACACAAGAACACACACAAGTACAAGTACAAAGTACAGGGAGACATCGACTAAACACTAATCACACATCCTCGAAAGTTTTGCAAGATTCGGGTCAAGGAACGTTGCAACACATGCAGCATGCTTTTCAAACACTTATATTGTAAGGTATTTTACATACATGTACATATCTCTAGCTAGCTACTACATATCGCAAAGAGGAATTTCCGTTCAAGTTTAGCAGGGGAGGGAAAAAGTTACGGATCAGGGGTAAAACTTTCATAGAACCAATGCTGTTGTTGGGAATGGTGTGGGGTGTTTTTTTTCTCTAGTAGTTTTACTCTACTCTACGAGTAGTTTTTGGAAGTTTTGTTCAACTATTTGACACTTTTGCAAAGGGATTCGATACGGGATACGGTACAGAGTTTAAGAGAAGGAGAGAGCGAGACAGAGAGAGAGAGAGTTATGCTTTGGCTTTGGAAATTACGTATAGAGTTAGAGATATTTATTAGATTTTCTATGGGAGTAGGACTAGGAGGAGTTATTAAAAAGGTTTAAACCAACACACCCGCCCAGCCGAGTCCATGGTTTTTGGTTAGCAGATAGCATGAATGATGAACGAACGAACGAACGAACGATTTCTGTTTCTTTTTACATAATTATTAGCTGAGTTTCTTTTTTGATTTCGTTACTTTTTTTTGGTTCGATTTTTGTTGTAGAGTTTCGGTTTTTCTTTGTATTTATTCTTGATTGATTTTTGTTGTGTCTTTTTGGGCTTTTAAGAAATTACAAAATAGCTTTCTGGTATGTATTTTTTTTAGTCGAAACTGAAGGCCATATCTGAAATACAAGAGTTCAAAATAATACAGAGAGTTTTTCGATTGTTTTATACCTATATCTATGGGAGATACTGAAGGGGAATTCGCCTCTGATTTTGTTTTGGGAATAATAAAAAAAATTACACGCACACACACAGAGAGAGATATAGAGAGAGAGAGAAGATACACTTAAAAAGGTACATATTTGTAGAGTTGTATATATATAATATATTATTATATGTTTATCGTTTATATTCTATTGTAACCAAGAAACGAACGAGCCAGAACTGAAGAACAACACGTATACGATATTTATATGGAATATATAGGTATATATATATGATAGATAGAGAGAGGTAGAAGAGGTAGAAAACACGTAGAAAATTACATATTGTTGATTACATATATACGATTATATAGCAGATTGGTGGTGGTAGTAGGTAGTAGCACTAGATAGTAGCAGTAGACAGTAGGCAGACGAGACGTCCTCGATATTCATACGAGTCATATCAATAGTTATGTACGGCATCCAACGTACCACTCGATTCTCTGCTCATCTCTGATTCTGATCTCTATCCAGTAGTCCTTTGGGGTCTATTTATTTTCACTCAATGCGTTTTCTCATAGATCAGTTTGCCAAATTCTTATATAGAAAAATTGTTCATCATCTCTCAATCAAAGTTTCAAATGGTTTTTAGGTTTTGAGTTTGGTTTTGGTTTGGTTCTTCATCTGGTTTCTGGTTTCTGGTTTCTGGTTCTGTTGGGTGTTGGTTCTGTTGCTGTGGTTTCTTGTGGTTCTTTGATGTGGTGCTCGTGTCTGTGGCCTTAGAGCAGCCTGCTCTTTTTGCCATCTCGCGGTTTGCCAATCATTGTTGTATATTCATCTATTTACACAAGATTTGTAGGGGGTTTTGGATTGGATTGTTTATCAAACAAAATAAAGTATATTAAATTAAACGAAAAAAATTTTGAGTAAAAGTAAAATTAAGAGTGGAATGACACACAATAGAGAGTCTTGGGTATCTTTGGGTATCTCAAGACATTGTAGAAACTGTATTTATACATAGATTTGTGTGTAATATAAGTAGTTAAAATATAAGGGGATTGTGGATCAGGAAGATATTGGGACCCAATCCAATTCCTCTATTATATAACGTCTTATAAATGTGTTTGTGTGTGTGTTTTTTTTAATAAATATTTTTGGATGTCTTTAGAGTAAAACAAAACCCCAAATAGAGAGTGGTGATGACTTGAATATACACAAAATGCTTTCAAGGGTAACTGAATATTTGGATTTATGTAGATATGATAATAAAATGCTTCTTTGATTTTATTGTTGGAGCTTGAGAAATGTTGAGTGAGATTCATGGGTGATACGCAGTGGAATATCATAAGGAATGTATAGGAAAACCTAAGAATCTAGAGAGAATAGTTTACGGAATAAAACCTAATATTGAAGAAGATGATTATCGCAATATGTAAATATTTCAAAGAGGACTCTTTCTAAAATTGTAAACAAATAGCTTTGGTATCTCAAGCCGATTGCTATTATTTCCCTAAAATATAGCAGAACTAACTGTAGAACAGCTTGAAGTAATCATCTAAAGTACTTACTATTTATTTGTAATTTCAATTAAATATTTAGGGAAATATATAATGAAATATATAATCTTATGGCTGATATTCTTTTAAGCTGAAATTTCCATACAATTCTTTCAATCACCAACTCATGAACCTCCCACTAAGCATCCACGAATCACGAGACATGAGTGTTGCGTTAAATAAAAGCAAAGCTCGAACGAATAAATGGATGAATCAACTCGTGGTATGGTGGGGAGGAGTGGAATAAAAACAAGCCGATTTTCATATGGTAATTACATAAAGTACATATATACACGTACACGACGGAATGATATGTTATATGGGAAACATTATAGCAACGCCAGAAGCGCAGGGGGGGAAGCGCACCCAAGATCATGAAGACTCACAGTCTTCATTGGGACTGAGCACTTGTCTGCTCACTGGATTGGATTATTGACAGTTCGGGGTATTGTGATTCTTTGACAAAGTAATTGTTACCATAGTTAATCCATGGATTAACTCGGAGTGCAGCTGTGCGAGAGCCTTTGGGACAGATGTTAAGAGCTGGTTACTCAATTATGGTAAGTATTTTTGGTTTTGTTTGTTTGGCGGTGACTTGAAGCGCAGCTCAGATTTTTTAGGTGTTTGAGATATGCTTGCTTGTGGGGGGTAAGGGGGGTTTCGGGGTTGTGGTAGTTAGGGGTGGTGTGGTATTACCGTGGCAAGGACAATTAAGGACTCACCTGATTTGGGACTGACCAGATCCTTGGTTTTATTGTTCATGCGACGCGGTCCAGTGCCGCCAGAGCCCATGGGTCCCGAATGTGGCCCCGAGCCCGGTGTGCCACAACCACTGACACCGCCAGGGGCACCTACAAACCGATCGAAATTGTATATTGTAAGCTATATGCATATATTAGAAAATCTCACCTGGTATTCGCGCCTGTCGCGGCTGTTCCACGGGAAGCACTCGTCTACGCTTCTTTGGCAGTTTCGCGCGCGCCTGCGTATGCGAATAGTACATCGCAAAGTTGCTAACTATAACGGGCACTGGCAGTGCAATGGTTAGTACACCGGCCAGGGCGCACAGGGCGCCCACGAACATGCCGATGTATGTTTTTGGCGCCATATCGCCATACCCCACGGTGGTCATCGTAACCAAAGCCCACCACAGGCCAAGCGGTATGCTGTTGAAGTCGTTGTGCGGATTCGGTTGTATGCGCTCGGCATAGTACACCAAGCTGGCGAAGATCACAATGCCAAGGACGAGGAAAAACACCAGCAGGGTCAATTCCTTCGCCGAGGCACGGAACGTTTGGATGAGGATCTTCAGGCCGGACGAGTGGCGCGTTAGCTTGAACAGACGCATGATGCGAATGATCGAGAAGAACTCCAGTATGTCAGCGTTCTCCAGATGCGATGCGAATCGCTGAAGCACAAGATCGATATAAAAACTAAGCGTTGCTATATAGTCTATGATGTTAACAGATGACTTGAGGAATTCACATTTGTTCGGCGATGAGATAAAGCGCACCTAAGGAAACAAAAAGGAAACCATTAGATGACATAGGATCAGAGAACACGTGACAGATGCATTGGGTATCGGTTGTGTGTGCAATAATCTTCTGTTCTTACCAATATCTCGAATGTAAACCAGGCATTGCAAACGCATTCGATATAAAAAAAGGCTATATGCGCATTGGTTTGTGCCTTGTCCAGGACCCAGGCCGTGCTGCCATTCGCCGTTCGAACGGTTACCTTGCGAACTATTGGTACCCTCATATCGGGATGGGTTTTCAGGCAGAATGACAATATCGAAATGCATATAAAAAATACCGAAACAACGCCAATGGTCTGGAAAATAAATAAAATAAAATTAAATTCGAATATTCAAACATTAATTAATCCTGATGGCATCCAATAAGGATATATACCTTGGCGGCATTGGAACTGTAGGGCTCATCGAACAAGGACCAAATGCGCGGCTTCATTTCCTGCCACCAGGATACGGTGCCTTTGTAGTAGTCCTCTTCGAAGCCAAATTTGCGTGCCAATTCCTCTTCGGACGGTTTTTCCGTATCCAGATCCAGACGATCCAATACGGCCAGGGTTTCCTGTGTGTCGCGATGCTGTCGAAGGGTCAATGCAGAGGTTAGAAATCAGGACAGAATTCATTTATATGCTTGCGTACACTCACCTGTGTATAAGTCATCCAACAGCAGGGCTCTACCTGATTCGAGTCTAGACCCCAGAATTCCAATTCCTCTTCAAACAGCGGTCCGCACACATCTGTGGGATAGTGCAGTTTGCCAGTTCTGATGGACAGAGAGAGAGAGAGAGTGTTCATTACTTTGTGAGACTGGGGATATCAGGGGACAGGGAGTGTCCGATTGCGCTGTACCTGTAATAGTTGAGCACTTGTGCAAATACGCCCGGATGCCGATCAAAGAAGTACTCATTCAGTATCGGATCATAGTTGGCCAGGGCTTCCGTGAGACGCGACAGTCGCGTCGCTGGAATCTTTTTCAATGTGGCCTTGTATGTCTCGTGCCGTATCCCGCCGACATTCAGCACCACCCGATTCTCCGAGTCCATGTTGATCAGATTCATGGCTGCTTGCGTATAGTGCATTTTTTTCGGAATATAAGTCATGATTATCGGTAACTGTGTGTGGGTGTACAGGTGTATAGGTGTATAGGGGGGTATTCGTGGTGTGTCGTTGATGTGTTATGTTTGGGGTATTCTGGTGGCTGCTTTTGTGGGTGTTCGGTGAAGGTTTTGTGCTTTGTGCTCGTTTTGTGGCTTCAAACCTGAATAATTCCCCCGGTCCTCTTTCCTCCCCACGATTCCGTTGCAGTTCCTTCCTCACACCCACCACTCGATGGTCCTCCCGCTGGAAACCAAGGCTGAATCACTCGATCTCCCGCTCTCGATCTACCTCATGTGCACTTGAAAATGTATCAACTAGATGTTAGGAGACCCACAACATGGTAGCAATGCGACGCTTCAGGCGTTGAAGTACTCACTAGGTTGGGCTTCGACAGGACGACATGGCGCTAGAGGGAAGAGGGTGGAAATGTTACTGTTATTCATAACTCACGAGTGTTTTCTGTACTCATTTGGGAATTAAATACCCGTATGTAGTTCAAGGAATACGCTTGTTGAGGATTATATTTCAAGTTGTTTTGACGACTTTTGAATACATTCCCATTTAGTTTATTGATTTATTTGAAAAACTTTCCATGAATATAATATTTGGGCTTATTTTCCAATAATTTTTCCATACTTTTATTTACATTATTTTGCTACAAAAAAAGAACCATCAATCTTTGCACATCTATCGTTTCACCCAATTTTCCGAGCATTTCAATAAATATTGAATAAAAATTCCCAAGAAAAAACGAGAGCATACTTCACCCATCAATTATCACATGCCCGCGCAGCCAAATGGTAGCCATACAAATCATGGATGCTGAATCAATATTATGTGTATACAAATCATTAAGACATTCATATTTCATATCGTTTCAGGTGAGTGGCCAACTTTCACACTCCAATCATTGAATTTATGGCTGAAATTCGAACATTGTTTATGATATCCAAGATTATATATCGAGAGGGATATATGTACATATACGAAGTTACGTATACGTTTATTGCCCTTCTACTGCCTAAAATTGCTTAGCATTGATTGATTGTTTTCCACCCTATATCCGTGACACAATTCAATGAGAATCGATAACTAAAACAAAATAATTGTGTGTAAAATAAGTGTGTGATAGATGTTTCGCCTCTCGATATCTTTCCCATGACTCAAGGGGATCAACAAATCGAGAAAAGGAACATCCAAAATATGGATTAGGTACAATTATTCTTCTTAGAATCATGACTGATCGATGTGCTCTAACAATATAGCAACTATAGTATCATCTAAATGCGTCAATTGAATTAAGTCGAGTGCGGAATGGATCCGGGGGAAGCTCCATTTATTTATCATTCTACGAGTCAGTAGCATTGATAGATGCTTCCTATAATTTACTTGATGATTCAATGGGGTATACGCGTATTCACTTGGTTTTCGAGTACTTCTAAGATCAAGGAAATGAGCAGTAGAACTATAACTTTTTATTCCCCGACAAAAATCAGCATTGATATTGATGTATCCCCGCACATCCTCGCCGATGATTCAGTGTGCGGGAAATACTCATTCTACGCCGCATAAATATTTAAAATCAACAAATCGAGCTGTAGAACAACTGCAATTTATGCCTACATATGTCGAAAATGGGGCTATAATATTCGCTCCTATTCGATTCGATTGAAATGACCCATTAGCAGCTCGTGAGGCGCATCCCACAAATGTTTCCTATACCTTTTTCTATATCATGCTAGTAGATCGGACTAAATATAGAACCAGTCATCGATAGCGTCATCAGTTTTTTGGATTTAAGTATTTGGAGAGTGGTGCCCAAAAAAAAAATATATAGTATAATACTACGAACAAAAATAAAGCGTGAAATCGCCTTCGTGATTTGCACAAAAAGCAAATATTTGTTCTTAAACAATATTTAGTTTTGGCGCTGCATTGTTTACACCACTCACACGGTGCCACCAATACACACCCATGGGCGCAACGCCTACAAGTGAGCAACAGAGTGTCGAGGCCGTGTCCGTGTGAGTGTCTGTGCCTGTGCCTGTGCCTGTGTGTGGTGGTGCCCCTGTCTATGGCTCTATGGCTGTCTCTCTGTCTCTCTGCCCGAATGTCTGAATGTCTGCCTGTCCCTGTCTGTCTGTCTGTCTGTCGGTTCGGGGGCGCTACTCGTATGTACAGCCACAGCCTGCCTGCCTTTCGTTTGTCCATTTCAATGTTTACCTGCAACTGCCGGCTGCTGCCCCCTAAACTCTCGAGTTTCGACCGAGAATCAACGCCATAAAAACCACAATCCAAAAAGAAATCATCATCATGGAGGCTTTATAAACAAAACAAACACACGCTGAGGGCAGACTTTTCCTTCCATAACATCCACAGCCATGCGTTGAGGTCTCTGCATTAAATGCTAAATACTCGTACTGCAATGCCCATTTTTCTGCCAAAACTCTCTCGATTCATATTCATAAAACTCATTTCGATCGGTATCCCATACCCCATATGATATATGGCTTATCTGTGCTTATTTTTACCCACAGGCCCTCATTACTTATTCACTTTTAATGAGCATAGAAAACTTCAAAGCTCCTAGAATATCTTAGTATATTGCCACTGGAGGGAAGTACGCGTACGAAGAAGTATTTAAAATGAGGTGTTCTTTTTTTATACGAAATTTCCTTTTCCCAAACATCCTGTGTGGCACGCAAGTAAAGTAGTTGGAAGGTGGTATCATGGTGGGTGGTGGTGGTGGTGGCTTAACTGCTCCGCTTTTGGATCGCTCTTTTTTTTGATGGTGTGGTGGGTGGTTTTAATGGGGTCTGGGATTGGGCGAATGGGGTGGCACGGAGTCCACAGTAGGTCAGGAGAGTGTTTTGTAAGTGGCGTGTACTGTAACACTGCTGCTGCTGCTGCTGCTGCTGCTGCTGCTACTGCTGCTCCTCTGTTTTGTTGTGGCATGAAGTCTCCGTTAACTTTGGCGTATACATGACATATACACACACACACATGCACCCTCAAAAGCACACAGACACACACACACACAGATACTCCATGCAAAACGCCTTTACACGTGTGTGTCGCCGAGCCAAAGGCAGGCAGGCAGGCGCACGCATCGATTTTTCCGTTTTCGGTGTATCACAAACTTCCTTATTGTTTTCCAGCATTGACTTTAAAATTAACAGGGACAGAGGCAGTGGCAGTGGCATTTTCCCTCATTTGATATACATACACACACATACACACGCTCACATGGATAGAGGGCATAGCTATTCCGTTAGACGAGCGAACGAACGAAAGACCGACTTACCGACCGACTATCATCCATCAAAACCCCATTTTCATCATCCCGCGTCTTCTCTTCTCTCACCTATTCGCTTGGGCCTGGACCTCCTCGATGCGCTCTGCCGCAAAACATTACTGCTGGTATTTCCTTGAATATAACTTCGATCCGAAACCAAATCGGGGCTTTGTTCAAAAATGGGAACAACAACTAAAAATTAGGTGAGAGAATTACACTACTACACTACACACACGCTCCCCGCCCGTGTCGCTCCTACTTCTTCGGGCACTGGGGCTTTCTATTGGGGACTAGACTCGGTTCTCACTACCGTTTCCGACACACCACTGTGCTTCTGTATGCCGATGCCGATCACTGCGCGCGCGTTCCGAGCCGTGCCGTTCGATGCGATTTTACAAACTGAAAAGGAAACCGAACAAACCGAAACAACACACTGATGGAATTTTCACGCTCTGTACCACAGCACCTGCCGCTGGAGGGATGTTTATGTTGTGCGTCTTTACATTCCACTCTGCAGCAAATCGGTGCATGCGCACAGGTTCATCTTTTCGAATTTTCTTTTGCTCCAACATTTCGCTCAAATGTGGCGCCAAAGTGCAACATGTGATGTCTGATAAAAAGTTTTTAAAAATTTAGAAAATTTACAAATTGCCACAGCTTATAGACTAAATATTTCCAATTCCGCATGTTAAAATATTCATTAACTTTTTAAGATGTATAGAAGTTTAGGGTGTTCTACTTTCACACTGTTCCTTCTTTATAATAATTTTCTAACATATATTTTAAGTTGTGTTAAGTTAATTTATTATTATGGGTACTTTAAGTTATTTTTACTAAAGTGAGGAAGAATTTGAACTTATGTAAATACATGTAAATAATTAATTAAACTTAAACTCTCCAACAACAATTGGCGATGTGTAGAGACCATGTACAAATCGTGTATTTACCATGTAGATATACCCATGTAGACATACTGGCTATATTTCTGATCCGTCTCGAGATACTGAATCGTTTAAGACGTACAAAAAGCCATTTTTCGTTCGAGCTTGTAAAATATTTTGGATGATACGATTCTTAGCTTTAATTATACAATTATGCCGATGATTTTTTAATTTTCAATATAAAGATATAATAGCCAGATACATTTAAGTTTATATTGCGGGCAATATTTTAAACGCAAGCAAATATGCACCTACCCAAAGAAACACCACAAATCCAAAGGAAACAGCCATAACTTTATATTGAAGTATTTAAAATATTTTTAATAGAGTTTCTTTTCTGTGGGAACGTAAGAACTGAAGTACAGAGAGTGTGGCTTTGGCAATCGCAAACAAATTAACCATATTAGTAGAGTGACCGATTTAAATATTTGGTTAGGCAGCCTTCAAATACAAAATTAATTCAACTATTTATATATAAAAAACAAATGCAATTGGCTAAATGAAACGATGCTTGGATGCTTTGGATGGATGCAAGAGAGCGCAGACAGAGCAGAAGCTAAAGTTTCAAAGAAAGTGTGTGGAGTGCTCCCTGGCTTAGATATCTATATAGATGAGTATAAAATAATGGTGCTGAAGCTTTCAAGGCGGCTGTCCCTCCGCCAACTAGGCCTGCTGCTCCTCGTTGCCATTGGCGGAGGTGTGCCACACATGGCCCATTTCCAGGGCATGCTGTTTGAGCATTTCCTTCTGGCTGTCCTTGGCCTGGAGGTGGAAAACACTTTGCTGCAAAGTAAAGAAGAACCATTTGGGATTAGGGATTCGGTATAACAGCCAATGGAGAGAGAAAGCAGAGACTCACCTTCTTCTCCTTGGTGGTAAGAACGTCCATTTTGTCATAGATGATGGCATGCAGGCCCAGTCCCTTTAGCAGCTTGATGGTATCCTGGGAATTGTTGTCATCGCCCCAGCAGAAGAGCACCAGGCCGCGCTCCTTGGCGAGATTCACCTAAAAGTCCGCAGGTGAATGATTTCGAAACATGTCTGTTGTGTCCCAGTCTCCCAGCACTTTTGTCCCAGAGAGTGTCATTTTATTACCTGGCTGGGATCACGCAGCAAGTCCTCCGTGTGGGCGACAATTCCGAGCAGCTGCATGGCCACCGCATGCCAGACGGCCAGCTCCATGGAGTTACCGCGCGGATCCATATACTGTTCGTACTTGGTGGTCCTGCCGAGAGTCAAAAACATTACTGGGTACCGATTCTGTTTGAAGCGCAGCATCGTGCAGATGTCGGGATCAAAGCAGCTGAGGACAATCCGCCGATTGCCGCCCTTGCGCAGGACCACATCCAAAATGCAGTCGATATAGAGATTCCTATCCACCACATGCTCAAACTCCTCCTCCATGCGCCCGTCCTGCAGGCGCTGCGACCACTTGATCTCAATGTTGAAGCCCACATCGACATCGAGCGCGTCCAGCACATCGGAGAGCTGTGGGAAGGGCTGGTGCTCCAGCATATCGTCGTTGTGAAAGGAGCGCGTCTCCCGCGACAAGCCCTCGGCAGTGTGATACACTTTAAGCTTCTTCAGCTGCTCGTGTGTCAGCTCCCGCATGGGCAGGGACAGGAAGTCGTGCTCCTGCATGCTACACTTGGACTTGAGCGAGACATAAATCATGAAATCATGATAGACAACAGGCACCAGATCCTTGCTGAGCTGCACATCGAACTCTACCATATCGGCGCCATGCTCGGCGGCATTCTTCAGTGAGGTAATTGTGTTCTCTCGGATGACGGCGTCCTTGGCCTTAAAGCTGGTGCCGGAGCCGCGATGGCCCACATCCAGGCCCGTCCACTTGTTGTTCCAGTAGCGGGCATAGCTGACGCTCATGTCCATGTGTGCGCTCAGGGCGGAGGGTCGCACAATAAGGTAGCCCAGCCGCATCATGCCAAGGGGCCGATGGCCCTTGGCACACGTTATTGGTATCTCGAGGTTTCCCTCGGAACGCTTGAACAGATTGGGCAGCACATAGTGGTAGCCCAAGTGGTGCGGTGGACCATCTTCCTTGGCCACCCGAGAGCTGTACGTGTACAGATCGATCAGGTAGGCCGTGTTCTCGAGATCTCCCACGGTTATGTGGAAGATGACCAGGTCGCTGGGGCCGCAGGCAGTGCCAAACTGCTCCTGGGCACGAATCTCGCACTCATCGGCACTCAGGGTTACCACCTCGCTGAAGGCAAAGGCCGTGGACGAGTCCCCGCCATTATCCCTGGTGTCGTGCGTGTCGTTCGAAAGGGAATCCTCCGGCGGCGACACCGGACCCGTGCCGCTGGAAGGCTCGCACCCAGCACTGGGTATACGCAGATTCATGGGCGTCACCTTCACCTGGACATGGCGTCGCTTCATGCGTTGCTTGAAGGTGAACGGAGCGTAGAAGAACTTGAGCTGAACGATTGCCTCCCTGGTGAGCCAGCCCCGGTCGACCTTCTCCTGACCGTTGACAGAGCCGAAGATATCCAGCTGCTCCTTTGGCGGCTGCTCATCCAGCTCATCGATGGCTCTGGCCTGCAATGGGTGTCATTGTAGTAGGCATTCCACGAAAACAGATCAACAGATTCCCACCTGAAACTGTGTCTCCCAGCGTCGCACCAGCGGCTGCTCGCTGCTGGGCTCCACGGCACACACCATATAGCGGTATTCCGTGGCACAGTGACGCGGTATGTAAGCCTCCACGCTCCACACATTCTCCTCCTGCGTCATAAGTGCCGCATCCGCCGGCTGCCAGTTGCCCAGGGCCTCACAGTTGCCCACCACGGCCAGGTGCTCGTTGGCCCCCAGATCCTCGTTCATCAGCACCCGGAAGGTCCACAGCCGATTTGTGGTTATGTCGCCAAAGATCCGACGACTTCCACTCCCATGCAGCGTTCCCGCTCCCTGGGGGCACGTCGAGGGCGCGGCCATGGCATCGTCCTCGCCGTCATGTGATGCCAGCCAATTGTGCATTCTAATGGTTTGCTATTTGCTGTCGAATGACCTTATCAGTGGATGACGTAAAATTTATTATGTTTCACTTGGGACATCCACTCACCTCACCCTTTGTCCCACACAATCCACGAAGTGCTCTAAGGTTTTGTTAGGGTTTCCTCCTCCACTCTACTAATCTTTTCTCTTCTCACTTAGTGTTGGTGTGTGGCGTGTGCGGATGCGTGTGTGTGTGTGTATTCGAACCTGCAACAAAAGAAATATGTGTATAATGTGGCAGAATTGGCCGATTTTTGGGTTTTACTCACGAACAGCTGTTCTGCTCCTCCAGCTAGACGGCCATGGTTGAGGGAGGATTGATGATGGTTTGATTTAACGAAGGATATTCGTGGCACACAAAAGGCGACAATAGGATTAAAACGAACTTATTTGCGCACTTTCAGCGTTGTCGCGAACGCGACTAGTAGATAAACTATAACTGTGAATTGCATTATTTTCCGCGATGAAATTTGGGTCGCTTGGTTAAATGAGTGTGAGAGAGACAGAGAAAGGGAGCGAGGCGAGCAGTGTGACCGTGAACTTATCACTAAAATATACCGTCTGACCCTAAGAAAATATGCCATCGCATTTTCAAAATATACTAAAACGTCAGTGGAAACACATAAATAAATAAATTAAAAAATTAATTAATTAAACCGTAATTTCCATTAGTTGGGATCAATTTTTTTAATGCTTAATAATCATAGTTAGTTGTTGACACAGCCCACTGTACATTATTGTTATCTACATGTACATATGTACATATATGCCCTGTCACAGCAATAACCTATTTAACTGTTCTTTCGTCTCTTCGACTCGCGACTTTCTTCTTTACTTTGATATAATTTTCGCTCTCTCGTTCTCTAGATCACTCTCTCGCTCTTTAGTCGCAGCATCGCCCTATCATGATCGGTCTTGCACTTTCAAGATAATATGGTCCTTGGCCTTCGCTATCGCTCTCTACATCTTTCGCGCCCTCGCTTTATTAGGGCACTGGCAATTCGGCCCGTCAGCCCTTGAACATATTCTTGACGTAGCACTCGCACCTTTCACATCGTGAAGGCCGTTCAATAAGACACCGTCATGAACCGACCCGAGCGTCTTTAATATGACCCAGTCGTGAACGATATAATCCTTCTTCTCATTAAACAGGATGTGACGGCTATAGTTAAATTAAGCAATGTTCAAGCACCTCTACTGGAGCATGAGCCTTTCCAAAACGGCCGGCCATATAGACTGGTCCAACAAAAAATAAATACTGAAAAAGAGTTCTAACTCTGATAGAGCTGATAAAGACCAGAAGAACTGCAATAAAAATTTTACAATATTAAACCCAATTTCTGTCGCTGTGTGGGAATTAACAAAACGATTGATTTAAGAGTGCGCTGCCTGGATACATTTTTCGATATATATGTACGCTCCTTGAGGACAACTCACACATGCACTGGCTGTTTTTTTAATATTATTTAATATGGGGCTGCAAAACCGAGAAACCTCCATAATCATTTATTGGCGGGAAACCAATTTTCTTATCAGTAAGGTGCATGCCAAGTTTAAACTAATTTTGTCGTTTTGTTCCAAAGCACATTAATAATAGGTGAGGCGACAGCCAAATCAACCCTGTGGCCCGCAACAGCTGTTTGTTTGTTTTGGCGGGAATCTCTTGTTTTGCAAATTCGCGAATTATTTGTGCAATTTGAAGCCCAGAATGAATCAATATCCCGATGAAGACGAGGAGTTCGAGCTGCAGTACCAGGATGAGTTGGAGTTGCTGGAGGATGTGCCGCACGAGTACGACGCGTACGACGGGCCGAGCACCTCCCGGCAAGCGGCGGCCAAACAAACGAAATCAGTAAAGGATGCCTCACGCTTGGAGAATTCCACCCTCGGCTCACCGCAGCTCTCGCAGATTACCTTTGGGGCCACTCAAATCGAGAACGATGATGGAGGCGGCGGCGGCGGCGGCGGTGGGCCAGTGAATAGGCGACTTTTTGGCACGCCCAAAGGCCCACCGGTGGGACGCGGCTGCTCGACGCCATTTCAACGCATGCCGGCCATACAGGAAGTGGATGCCACTCCACCGACCAGCAACGGATTCAAAGAAACGGATGCAGTGCCTCTGCTTAATGCGGCCGCCCAGCAGTTGCAGGAGCTGGGCACGCGGGGCGTGAACAAGCGACGTCTGGAGCGGGATCTCTTTGGCGACATTGATGACCTCTTCCATGAGACCTACGAAGATCCGCTGGTGAAGAAGGCCCGCACCGAGGAGCAGCGCGACAACGAGGCCATTGAGAGGATCGTGGAGATACGCCGCAAGAAGCAAGAGTCGACCAAAACCGTCCGCAGGGACGATGTGAGTCGCCTGAAGGCCCTGCTCGATTTCCAGAAAAGGAATCTCTCGTACGAGATACCCAACTGGCCATTTCTGCCCATACAACGCAGCGATCTGGAGCGCATCTACGTCCGTTTCCACTCGGAAGAGTACGAGCAGCGGCAGCTGGACTTGATCAGTGCGCGGGGCGCGATTGTGGGCAGTCTGCTGGGCGAGGCCAAAGACAAGGTCTGGCAGGAGGCGAACGAGCTGGTAAGTTTGAGGAGTCCATTGCGAGATGTCAGATATAACTATTCCCTTGGTTAGGTCCTTCGTCGCTTGGCTCCCGACACACAGCCAGCGATAGCTGCTCCCACGACTGCAGTCACTCCGCATGCGGGACGTCTTTGGGTGGACAAATACAAGCCAAGGAAATACATTGACTTGCTCTCGGATGAAATGACCAACAGGAGTCTGCTCTATTGGCTCAAGATGTGGGACAAGGTTGTCTTTGGCAAACCCTTTCACAGCAAACAGGAACGGGATGCAGTCTCAGGAGCAGGCGCAGGAGCAGGTGGTGGAGGCGCATATACTCAGATGAACAGCTTCAACAAGCGCACGGGAAAATTCGAGTCCAATGGCGGCTGGCGGCAGCGCAAGCCACGTCATGCGCTCAACACGAATGTGGATGCCATGGGACGACCCATGCAGAAGGTGGCCCTGCTCTGTGGTCCCCCCGGTCTGGGCAAGACCACGCTGGCCCACACCATTGCCCGGCATGCCGGCTACAATGTGCGGGAGATCAATGCCTCCGACGATCGCAGTCCAGAGGCCTTCAAGCAGGCCCTGGAGAACGGCACACAAATGTCATCGGTTCTCAATGCAGACAAGCGGCCCAATTGCATAGTTCTGGGTGGGTACGCATCTTTTGTATGCCTTCAATAATTAACTTATCCTCTGTGCCCAGATGAAATCGATGGCGCTCCGCGTCAGTCCATTGAATATCTGGTGAAATTCGTCAACGATGATGTCCACAGCAAGGCGAAAGCCAAGGGCGCCAAATCGGAGCACAACGTCCTGCGACGACCCATTATCTGTATATGCAATGATATCTACGATCCAGCCCTGCGGCCACTCCGCCTGATAGCCTTTGTGGTCACCTTCCCGCCCATTGATGCAGCGCGTCTCGCCGAGCGGTAAGACGGTTAATATATTCTTTGATTGATGATTGATTGATGGTAATGATCTCTCTTACAGCTTGGGCGAGATTGCCCATAAAGAGCAGCTTAAAACAGATTTCGGATCACTGATTACGCTGGCTGAAAAGTCGGGCAACGATGTCCGCAGCTGCATTTCCTCCATGCAGTTCTTCAAGTGGGTAGCCCGAACATTATTTTCAGTCACAGATTGCTTATGAAAATTCCCATTCTAGTGCCCAAAAGCAGAGCCTGACGCTACAGGACGTGCTGAACAACAATCTGGGACAAAAGGATCGTCATCAGAGTCTGTTTGCTGTGTGGAATTCCATTTTCAGAGTAATTTCTTCACTTCAAGAACTTTCAGACTGATGTTTCATAGACTATTTTCAGATACAACGTCCCAAGAAGCAACTGCAGACAGACACCAATGGCAATGGCGATGAGCCCGCTTTGGTTACAATGACCAACATGTCGATTGCTACGCGAGTGCGCAATGTTATGGATGTGGTCCATTCCAGTGGGGACTACGACAGGTTGGATTAACATTTACTTTCTCTCTCTATCTCTCTACAAAAGTGTTCTAATATTCCATTTACCTGCCGGCAGACTTACTCAAGGCGTGTACGAGAACTATCTGCAGCAAAAGATGCCCGATCCAAATTTTAAGGGCGTTTGCGAGGCCTTGAATTGGTTCTGCTTTACGGACATACTGCAGCAGAAGATCGCCAGGCAGCAGAACTACAGTATTTATCCATATTTGCCGTACGGTTTTGTCGTCTGGCATTTGCTCTTTGCCACACTGGCCTGGCCGAAAATTGCATTTCCCACGCGCGGCTTTGAGGTAAGAGGATGGATGGAAAAAGATGCATGCAAGACTGCATGGCCCCGAGCCACATTATTTCTTTTCATCGCTGAATGCAAGGCGAGTCGGAGGCAATCTCTCTCCTTTGAGGCAGCCTCATGTATTATGCAGGCATCATTAGCTGGGGCAAACATGCCCAGCAAGGACCATTGGAAAGTGCATAATCAACACAATCAAGCCATGTAATTTCTTGTCCATTATGTGCCTCAAATGCAATCACAAGATTAATGAGAGTTCTGCATAGATTTCGCACTGTGTACACAAAGCCAAATCCACCACAAAATCCCCATTTCCTTCTTTGCAGTTCACACAGAAGAGCACCACACAGCGCAACATCTTCCAGGCCCTGCGCAAAGGTGTCACCCCCTCCGCTGTGGGTATGGGTCATGGCAGGATTCTGCTGCTGGATACCGTGCCCCTGCTGAAGAGGATTTTGTCGCCGCAATTGCGTTCCGTGACGGTGAAGCTGCTGTCCCCCAAGTGAGTATCGTCTCATCTATCTCCTTTGTTGGCTCCGTATTCCAATTGAATGATGCTATTCTTTTTTCAGGGAACTGTACGACATGAATCACACCATTGAGGTGATGCTGGATCTCGGCGTGACATTTGTTCAGGTCAAGTCCCTGGAAGGACAATATGTGTTCCAAACGGAGCCCGATCTAGATGCACTCAGCGCATATCCAGGTGAATATTCAACACATCAGAAGGGAAACTTTCAGTCATCATTTTTCGGCTATGTTTTGATAGGATTTCCTGGCCTCACTGTATCCTACTTCGGACGCCAGTTACTAGCCCGGGAAGTATCCCTGGCACGCATCCGTCGAGCGGCACCCAAGGAAGGGGCGCCGTCAGCAGCCTCAAAGAAGCAGGCACCGAAGACCGCGGCCACATCGCATCTCCCCAATCATTTGCAAAAATTGAAACCAAAAGCAATTTCTGGTTCAAATGTGCGCGGCGGTGCCGCCAAACAGCAGGTGGGTCCAAGGATACCGATGCACCATCAAGATTTGCATGTCTTGCATTTACTTAGCAGCAATTTACTTGCAAATTTTCCACCTTAACAAAGCAACTACCATTCGCATTCACCAAGGAGAGCTCACCTTTATGCTCCTTTTAAAGCTTGCGCTTCTCACATTTTCCTCTTTGGGCAAAGCCCAGCAAAGCTAATAACCCATAAGGGGATTCCACCGGCATTGTCATTGGGGTCGTAATGTGGGATCACGACAAACTAACATTTATTGCCCATCTTAAAGGAAAGCGACTTTGTGGGGTATTTTATGCTGCGAATGCTCTTTTAGCTTTATCTTTTAGATGGTTTTTATTCAATTTTCAAATGATTTATCATTTACTTGGCTTTATACTAATATTCCTAAATTATCTATTTCCCTTTTTTAGCTCAAAAAAGACTTTTTCGGTCGCGTTACCCACAAGACATCCACAGGAAAATCAATGGATGATGGTAAGTAATTATTGTATGTGTTTTGGCTATTCATTCTATTTAAATTGATTAATTTTTTTTAGGGAAAACCGATGCCATTGTAAAGAGTCCCATTTGGTATCGCTATAAGGAGGGCTTCAACAATGCCGTCCGCAAAGACGTGCATCTGCATGAGCTTCTGTAACATATCTCTCTTGGAATTTCCACGTGCCTGCCATAAATTAATTTATTAAACACAGATACAACATTTTAAATCAAAGAAAGTGTTCTTTAATGAATGGAGATATGATAGATGAATAAGCAAATATTTAATTAGTTTTCAAGCAACTCTCTCTTTCACTTGACTAGATAACTCATTTTTTAAAGATAAACTCAAAGGTGATATTCACACCTACTGACTGCTTGTAAGTATATTGTAAATATCATTCAACTTTTCATCCAATATTTGCTAATGAGGATGAATGTATTGCTTTAGTAAGCAATGCTTTGGCTTTCTTATCGCTGGGAACTCGCGGCGGGTTGAATCAGCCGGCGAGGCATCGCGACTCGACTCACTCACTCAGTTAGTTGCCCGCGCGTTGTCCAGATGTCTCGAACTAAGCCTGCGTTGGTGTGGCTATCGCTGGTGCTGCTGCTCGTGGTGCTGTTGTTGGGCGGCCTCCAGCCCATAGAGGCACGTTTCATGCCCCCAGGCCTGCCCGTGATACCGAGTGAGTAGAGGCAGGGAGTCGCAGAGGGTCAATCCACTTCCGACCCACATTTCTCATATATGTACTTATGCTGTGTTTCCTCAGATATTTGTAAGCAGCCACCGCCGCGGTCTGTGGGTATTTGCACCATCCAGATAGAGGGCTTCTACTACGACCCCGCCACCTTGGACTGCCAGATGTACTCGATTGGGGCATGCCACTCGACGCCGGGCCAGAGCTTCGGCGATATCCAGGACTGCGTCGCCACCTGTGTCCATGGCGTGAGACGCAATCAGGATTTGTATGTGAACGAAGGTTGAAATGTTAACGATTCGGAGAGAGTTTGTCGAATAAAAAATATCAGCGTAGCGTCTGCGTCTGCGTCCGCGGCTGAACAGCTAACAAATTGCGTCTAATCCGTAATCTATGAATGCTGGGAATGTTCTGTTCTGCCTGGCCCCCCATGACCTGTGAGGTAATTGTTTCTATTTTGTAGCACTATCGGATCGTGGTTTGGATTTATTGTCTGTGTGGCATCTAGCTGACAGTTCATCCAAGTCGCTTGAACATTGAACAAGGCTCGTTATACATGTGTATATACTCTATGAGCAGGGGAGTGTGTTCGGAATGGGAGTAGTTCTATGATTTGCGAAGAATCGGAGAATTTCTTTGGAAATATGAATGATGAATACGAATAGAAGTGCAACAGAAATATTTATGAACTAAATAACTATTTTTTTTCATATAAGGCATCTGTTAAGTTATTTTAGCTGTTTGGTAAGTGTGTCCCCAATTCGTTGTCTGTATTTGTGTGTATGCCAATCATTTGATTATATTCACGATTCTGATTTCGGCCTTCTGCAACAGGCGCTCGCCAGTTTTAGCCGGAAAGTCAATCCTCGATCTCATCCTCATCGACGACATCATCATCGTAATTATTGATCATCGCATGCAAAAAGCGCTGGACGCGGCGTAGTGTGTTGCCGTTTTGGGCCTTATCAGTTATCAGTCGCAAAAGCAGCGCCAGCAGCAGAGGCAGCGACGGCGGCAGCGGCAGCGGCAGAAGCGGCCTGATTACAAATATGTGTGCCTTGAAGTGGCTTTTGTTCGAGGTTTCGAGTCGAGTTCGCGACAATCCAAACGCCAGACGCTCCAGCATCCAGTCAGTGACCAAAAGTGTGGTACATATAGAAATTTCGTTTTGTTCGTGTCTCTCTCTGTCAAAAATTTCCAAAAATTAACCTAGACAAAGTCCAGAAAGGACCACAACCACTTAGAGAAGGGAAAAATATTCCATATCTGCGAAAACGAAAATTGCAAAACCGAAACGATAATCCCTTGGTTGTTGGTTGAATTTTCGTCTTGGGTACTTGCACTGTAGATGAACTTTGCAGTCGCCTTTTGGGTATAATAAACCCATAAATACCATTCAGACGAAACAAATAAAGATTGACGGACGGACGTGTGTGGATCGGTCGATCATCAGCTATAGCTATATAGTAGAGGTTCCCATTCCAATCATTGTTGAATCGACAGACTTACGTTCGGCTTCTTATACATACATATATGGCTGCGATCGGCTGCTGCGCATTTGTACTCGTATTTGTCTTAAAAAACAACAGAATTGGCAGTGTTTCCATTACCAGAGAGAGTGAAACTGTACCAGAAGCTAAAATACAGAGCTGACAGTGCAAATATATAGAACAACTATAAGGAACATAAACGGCTATCTGATCTGATCAGCTTCGTCCAGAGGCGAGCTAAAAAATTCTAGAAAAAACAAACAAGAAGTAAAACCGGTTGCAGTTGTGCAGAGCTAAGGATCATCGAAGATCTACCAAATCCGCCTTCAAAAGTATTTCCAAAATGAACGCCAACAGTCAACTGAGGATAACCGTGTGGCTTTGTGTGATCCTGACAATGATCCAGAACCAACCCATCGACGCACGCGTCCGTAAGTCTCTTCTGGAAGCTTTCAATATTCCCCATTCCATATTTCAACTAATTTTGTATCATTTTCCGATCAGGTGATCTGTGCACGGTACCGCCCAGCACGAATGGACTCTGTGTGCCCAGCACTTTGGGAATCTACTTTGATGTGGAGACGGAACACTGCCGATATATGGGCTGCGGCAAGCGGCTCTTCGGCAGTCTCGAGGACTGCGAGAAGATCTGCAACAATGCCAGACATGTCAAGAGGCGCAATCGATCTGGTGGCAATGAAACCACAAATTGAATACACGTTAAGGATGTTCTTTTTGAAACAAATCTCTGTTTGTTTGCGTTGTTATAAATACTAGCTACTCGTACTCTCAATTCAAATATCACGGCAGCTAAATTCGCACTCGGCCTTGTTGGTGAAGCGATTGTCGTTGCCGCCACATCCGCCGTAGATGAAGGGCTCGCAGTGTCGCTTCAGGGGATTGTACGCATAGCTCTCCACATAGCCAAAGCACCTTCCGCTGATCGTTGGCTGCAGGCACAATTTCACTGTATTCGTATATTTATTAAAGTTAGTAGGAACAATTACGGAGTTCGATCTGGTTATTCTACCTCGCTTGGAGGCTGCATCTGTCTGTGGCAGTGGGAAGATCGCTTGCAGCAGTAGCCAGTAGTACCCCAGACCCACGAGGAGCCAGCGAGCATCCATCATGTCATCTGTTTTTGGAATCCACTCTCAGCCACTCATTCAGTCAACCGTCACGTTCTTTGGCTAACAACTCACTGAGCCGGGGCTGTCCCACCGCTGATTTGTGTGTTTACAAATGCGTTCAAATGTTTTTATGCTTTGTTTTTGCCAAGATTCAACATTGACCAAGTTAATCGCACTGTGTGCAAAGCTTCGGCCATGGTAACAAAGGTGCTACCTACTCGGCTGGCACGAGGGTTAGCCTCTGAAGGTTTTCTAGCTTATTTTGACCAGCCTATAGATCGATGAGCTCATGTAACAATCTTAGAATAATTTTTAATCTCTGAAAAACCTACTCCATAAAGCGAATCTATTGAGGTAAGGTTAGAACAGGTTCTTTATTCGATCAATTGGATCGGGTATAATATAATTTAAAAATTTATATGATAAGCAGTATTATTGTGTATTGACTTCGAAAGTTCTCCGTTAATCTGCTGATTTTTTTGTTCGTATTATGCATAAAGCTATCTGATCGGTACCGTTATTGTTTCTCTCTGAAATTACTGGAAATAAGATTAAATGTGAGTGAGTTGTCCTACTCGTACTCCGCTTCTATGCTCTCTCCCACTGTTCACCTATGAAATCCATAGAGAGATCAGCTCCTTTTAATAAATGACATGCCCTAGCAAATTCGAATATACCCTACAATCGCTCTCATAATAAACACCGCTCGCACAGAGAGATGACGTAAAAAAAAGACTTGACGGCAGAAGGCAACAAAAACATGTTCCGCATATCAATGGCAACAACAATTCGAGTGTCTCAATACAAAACAGCAAGTGTATTTGTGTGGAATATACATATATGTATGTATATGATATACATATATATACTAACGATTGACAATGTTGGTTGGACAAGCAGCGAGAAACGAGATTTCAATTTCAGTTTCAATTTCAGTTTCGGTTTCAACGCTGAGAGCTTCAGAGAGGATCAAGAATTGAAAGTGTTTCTCTCTGTTTCTCTCTTCGGCTTGCTCTCCCTCCATTTCTTTCTCTCAGTGCACATCTCTTTTACTCATTTTCACTGGATATCTCTGGGCTCTGCCCCCTGGGCTATGGTAATCGAGAGACTCCTGGGACTTTGTTTGGCCCTTCACTCGTTTAAGGTCTAGTTAATTGAATCAGGCAATAAATACCGCTTTGGCACAGGGCATTTTCTCTTGCATTTTCCACTCAAGTCCAAGTCCCTAATTTAGTAATTAAACGTATTCCAGAGCGAGACAGAGAGCGAGAGAGAGAGAGAGACAATTAACGTGTTGGCGCTCAGACCGGGCAGCATTTCAATTATTTCAAGCAAATTAAACAGTTAACTGAATTGTCACCTCAGACAGACATTTTCACACACATGAGCGTCACATTTTGGCCACTCCATTCCATCACCGGCCGGAGCCGCTCACTGAGAGAGCTAATGAATAAATAGTACTCCCTCTACGACGGATAACACCTCATCAACAGCATCATAAGGGAGGGCCATGCCTCATCATTGAGCGATAATTGAATTTGCGCTATGTATTAACACCTGCTAACGTTTTTGTTGTACGAGCAGCTGTGTTGACCATCTTGTCCTGGCCCTAATATGACTCTAATTATGACTGTTGCCCTAAGCCCTGATGAGCTGTCATGGTCCAGTCCGTGTGTGTCCTCGACTATCTTCTGCACAGACAATTGCCAATGCAATTTTAATGAGCCTGAGCCTCTCCGAGTGCAACACTCGTACACATAGTATTTGTCTCAGCCAGCATTAGGCGTGCCCAACGAGCCCCTTACTTGAAATTTCTTATGCAAATTGTTGCAGTTAATGTTAATGGCAAATTTCAGGTGCTGTTATCCCCCCACATTACATGACACATTAGCCAGACGTACGCCCAATCAAAACCCAGTCGGGAAATCCAAGTACTACGTGACCAAGCATCTAAGTTATCTTCTTTCCTTCGTCAAGTGCTAATTGGCCATTCATATGTGATGGGCATATATAATTGGCAAATAAACACCAGCTCTATTGATCGTATTCCTTATCTCCATCTCGGAATCAACCTTGAACGATTCGTGGAAAGAGCTTCATTTTAATATTCTTGGTAATTGTAAAATTGGAATTATTTGGAATCGATTAAAGACTATAGAAAATATACAGAAATATAATCGAAAATGCTTCTCAGACAGAGACTAAAGCTTAATAGAATATATAAAAGTGTTTTCAGAGTTCCATTTAAACGAACACATCCACGCCCTTATCATTAAAATTAATTTCAATAATAGCATTTTATTTCGATTTTGATGTAGGGACTATTGGAAGCTATTGGATAGGATTGGATTGAATAGCTCATTTCCAAGACGATGTGAAAAAAGTGATTGCAAGATCAGGCGGGCCGAAATGCCCGTGCCCTAATGCGAGCGAGAGAGCGACAGATCAAGAGTGTGATAGCGAAGGGCGAGGGAAAGAAAAGTGCCAGATGATGACGCGAGAGAAGGGCTGGATGGGCATTCTGCCGTGCGGGAGCATGAATGTGTACATATGTATGTATGTATGTAGGTTTGTAGGTAGATGACAATTAAGTACAGTGGGTAGTGCAAGCAACGAACAATAATAAGGATTTACTGTACTGCTGCACCACTGGATATAATCTATGTATTTAAGACTTAAATTTTAAGTCCACTATTTGGCTGCGTAAACACATTTACTTGTTGGGTAATTCCCTTGATTTTTTCTTCATCGCTAATCTTAGATTCAGAGCCTGCACATCATCATATATATACATATGTACATAGATATGTAAATCTCTCTATTTATATAAATCAGATAATTAATCTTTGTCGCGCTCAACGCTTTTTATGCTCAATTTGAGTTAAACGCTTCGCTAAGCTTAGCCCAGAGCAAAAATGAGAGAGAGATCTACACCTATACAGATGTAATCAGCACTGAACTCGGCTCAAAATCGGAATATAGCACATTTCGTTCAGTTCAGCTCAGTTCACATTCGCAGCTATTAACGATCAGTTATCAGTGCCACAGACAAAGCAAAATCATGCGGATGACCCAGTTTCTGTGCTTTGGGGCGGCACTTCTTTTGTTCAGCCTGTTGCAACAGATACAGGCGGCGGCCACATCCACAGCCAGCAATAAACCGGGAATTGTGGCCCAAGTACAGCCAAATCCAGCAGCAAATCAGGCTCCCAGTCCGACCACAGTGAAACCCCAGCCACAGCGACAACAGCAAGGTTCGTTCGATTGCACACATTCCTTTTAGACCTAATATTCCCTTCTCCCACAATAGATCCCAAGTGTCTGCAACCCTTGGATCCGGGTCCCTGTCGCATGAGTCTCGATCGAGTCTACTACAACAAGGATACGAATGCCTGTGAGACCTTCAAATATGGGGGCTGTCGGGGCAATGATAATCGCTTTGGCTTCCGTCAGACCTGCGAGGATGCTTGTGTCATCAAAAAGTGACTCAAGATCGATCGAATAAATTAAGTATACATAAAGCCATAATTATTAAAAGTTGTTTGTTACAAAATGTCTTTATTTATACCAAAGCACTACTTATGTGTGTCTGAAATTGTTTTCGTATGAGATTTATGAAGCAACAAGGGAAATGTTCTCAAAATAGATAAACAATATTGCATTGTATTGTTTAAAATTCATTATGAAATATGTGCATATATTGTAGCTGGAAAATCTCTTAGATGTTGGATGTCTATTAGTTTCTTTAGTTCTGAGAACATTATTGGAACTTTGAGTACTTCCCCTGTCACAATTATTGCTGCTATTTATTTCAAAAGCTCTATGGCGGTGCAACAAATAAACTCAAACCCTTCGTTTTTGTAGTTGATCAATCACTTAGTTAGACGTGAAAATACCTGATAATTACCTGGTGAGCCATTGGTTCGCACACCACACCCCCGTTCCGCCTTCTGGACGTGACTATCGCAGCTATCATCCGAGCTGTGCGGAAACTACTCGTCTGATCGTATCGTCATATGATTTTATATACTTAGCATATCAAAAGCCGGGCCATTATTAATATGTTGGCTATTGGCTGGAGCATTGAACTGCAGCGAAGGTTGGACACTGCGAAAGCTTCTCGGAACGGAACGGAGCGGAGCTGACCGTACTGACAGAGACGTCTCTGAGCGACAGCGGTGCCGTGATTTACATGCGACGTCGAATCAGTTGGACAAATACTCCAATCTTAACTGATACAAAAAAGCACACAAAAAGAGAAATAACTACGGGCAGACAGCTATGGAGTACGTGAGCTGAGCGGGTGGGTTCGCGGCTCTGGTGACGCACGATTGTGGGGTATTTAAGCCTCGTTACGCCCCAGTGCTGTTGTCATTCGCAGTCATTCGCCCAACGGAAACGATATGTGCTACAGATACAGCTTCATTCTGATCATCGCCAGTGCTCTGCTCCTGGTGAGCATCCGCGCTGCCCCTGCCAGCGATGTGGTCGTAGAGAAGCAGGACTCTCTTTCGGGGGAGACGCCTGTGGACGTGCCCGAGGATTGCCATCAGCCCAAGGAGACGGGACGCTGTTTTGCCCTGTTCTATCGGTATGCCTACAATGTGGATACCCAGGCCTGCGAGGAGTTTGTCTACGGAGGCTGTGCCGGCAATAGGAACAACTTCGAGAGCAAGGAGCTCTGCGAGCAGTCCTGCCTTGGTCGTGCCGCAGTCACTGAAATCATCTCGGTGACCACAGAGCAGAGCAGCAGCGACAGTGAGGTGACTACAGAGAGCAGCATCAGCAGCAGCAGCAGCATCAGCACCAGTACCAGCAGTGCCTAAACTATTGTTTACTTAGCGCATAGTATATAGGATTATTTACGGCATGCCGACCAAGCAATTAAGTCACTCCCCATCTCCCATACCCAAACAAATATAACCACAATACACAAACAAACTATGTACATATATTTACTTATTAATTTAACAAGTGTTTGTTAATGACCCTCGCGGTTCACGACCACATCGATAAGCAGCCGTGTTTCCGTCTGGGAAAGCGTATATAGCTCGGTGTTGGGCCTTCGATGAGCATTAGTCGTCGTCGTTCCACAGCAGCTGGAAGAAATTAATTCAAATCACAAATCCATTATGAAGTTCCTTGCTATTTTCGGCCTGATATTTGCCCTGCTGGGCCTGACCCTGGCCCTGAAGGATCGTAAGTCTATCAGAAGAGTTCTGACAAGAGCGATTCTCACTCTCAACATTAATGTTCTCCTCCTTAGCCGATTGCGGACTTGATGCTGGAGTCGATGGAAATGGTCTGATCAAGTGCGCTGCGTTTATGCCATCATGGAGCTACCATGCCGACAGCAATAGCTGCTCGGAGTTCGTCTATGGCGGCTGCGGTGGCAACCAAAATAGGTTTGGCAGCCAAGCGGAATGCGAGGAAAAGTGCAAGGAATAACTTCGCTCCTTCCTCATTTTGACTCTGATATGATTTATGATAAATGAAATAAAGTGTTTTATTCAATTGCAATTTGAATGGCTATTACTGAACAGGGAACACAAATTGATCATTGAACATTACGTGTGCAAAGCTTTCAAAATTAGGGAACCTTTTCCGTCTTGGTACTTTGTTTTGCAGGAAAAATGGTCCAGAAAACTATTGTGAAAGTACTCATATTCAGACAATTTAAAAATAAAATAATAAATAATAATACCAGATTCAAGTAACTGTTTGAACTCGGCATTTAATTTATTCGCCATTAAAGCTGACTCTCCCGGCAACGGCTCGCGAATGTCTCTGTCTCTATCCACAGCTAGCTCTCCCGCGGTTTTACTCATCTGAGGCTTGGATGTATTTAATGCCAAGAATAGTGATGCTTTGGGCCGTTCCAGACACTAGCCTTCGACTAGGCTTCTTCGCTCATGAATGAATCTGAAGAACATTGTTGAAATCATTGTTGAATTACGCTGTGATTTGTTTCTCTATAATGGACACACAATAATAAGAGTAATTTGAGTTTGGAGAATTAATGGAATGCAACCTCAACGCAACCTGCCACTAAACCGCAATATGACACGGTGCTCGACTAGGTTGAGGGTTGGGTGTTAAGGTGATAAGGTGATCCATTGTAATTTTGTATAAATTGTACAGCTATGCCCCAGGCTTAGTGCAGTTTACATTTCTTTGTGTTAGCTTGAAGTACTCCAAAATCGTAAGATGAAGTTTTTGCTGCTGCTGGCTGTGCTCGCTGCCTTTGTGGCTAGTTCCCTGGGCCTGAAACACTGTCTGTCCTCTTGAGATTTCAATCCTTCCCATAACTGAAGCATATTCTTTGATTTCGACAGTCATTTGTGATCTTCCAAGTTCCCAAAATGGAGATGGAGTCGCGGCATGCATGGCGTACAGTCCCCGTTGGTCCTACGATGGAAACTCGTGCGTGCGGTTCAACTATGGGGGCTGTGGTGGAAATTTAAATCGTTTCGGATCTAGGGAGCTATGTGAAAGATGGTGTATTGAATATCACCCATCACCTTACCCATTGTTATACCTACATGATTTTGGAATTAATTTGGAGTGAATCAAAGTGCAAAATAAATGAGTGGCCGCTTCCACAATGAACAAAATAACACGATAAAAGTTCCCCATTGTATTAAGCAACCCAATTCCGCCAACAACTAGGTTATTCCCTATGGAGAATGCTTCTAGAATCAATGTAGAATATTATCTAGGGTCTTTTTGTTTTCAGTCACATTGTTATATGAAGTACTGCTGCGACTTCTGTTGAGTTCCAATAGGAACAATTAAACGTATTCAGTATAAATTTATCGACTGTTGCCACAGCAAAACTCAGTTAACGTTTTTCTCTTAGGCTCGAAGGTTCTTAGCATCCCATCATGAAGTTGCTGCTGATCCTGGTTGTGCTTGCTGCTCTGACCGCCAGTTCTCTGGCTCTGAACGACGGTCCGTCTACTTGAGGATTTCTTCTTTTCTATAACTGAAAACTATGCTTCGATTTTGGCAGATATCTGTAATCTTCCGCATTCGCAAAGAGGCCTTTGCAGGGCAGCCTTGCGCAGATGGTCTTACGATGCGGCGAACAGGGTATGCACAAGGTTCCTCTACGGCGGCTGCGGCGGCAACGCCAATCGCTTCGAGTCCCAGCGGGAATGTGAGGCAACCTGCATGGAGTAAACTTGAGCAATAAATGAGTCAGTAATACTGGTTAAATGTGTGCAATGTATACCTTTGTGATAGCCATTCATTAAGATCTAGATTATTTTACATTCTGTAATGTGTCGGGGCTCTAGCGAAGACACAACCTTTCCGTAATCAGAAGTCAAAAGGTTTCCAAACCTTTACGCACGTGCTGACTGCCTTTTGTTGTGTCAGGTCTAAACAATTATTAATTATAATCATACAATTATCACGGGTACGAGTGTTGCGGCTGCCAAGGGGCTTTCCCCTTGTTTGTGGCGAGCGGTAAACAAAGTGAGTTCTCGGGAACAAATTCAATGCAAAATAACAAGCTGATGAAAGCAAACATCCATTAGGGCGCAGCACCGCCACAAATATTTACACAAAACATTACACATTTTGTGGAGATTTCCCAACAATGTTTTTTTTTTTTAGCTGTTTGCTCGACTAAGCTATATAAGCGATAAGCCATATATACATAATATTTGTATAAATTATTCGACTGTTCGACTCCCAGCTTTAGTTATACTTTGGCTCTCTGAACGCGAAGCTCTCTCATAGATCCTCCCATCATGAAGTTCCTTCTGCTGCTGGCTGTGTTCGCTGTCTTTGTGGCCAATTCTTTGGCTCTGAAAAATGGTCGGTGATCTTCAGACTTAGGAGACTCGAAAACTCACACTGACGTTCATTTTTTGATTTCCGCAGCGATTTGTGGCCTCCAGCATTCCCGCAATGGTGACGGACGCATTTCCTGTGAGGCTTACATTCCCAGCTGGTCCTTTGATGCCGATGCAAAGGAATGCGTGAAGTTCATCTATGGGGGCTGTGGCGGCAATGAAAATCGTTTCGGTTCCAAGCAGGATTGTGAGGCAAAGTGTTTGGAATAAATATTAGTGATTTACAAAACAAAACAAAATACTCGTTAATTGTGTTGAAATATTGGGAGAGGCTGCTTGCTAACTGATCAATATTCTTTCTACATTTCGTTGATATTTTTCTGCTAAGTACTCTGAAATATTCTAGTTATATTTGGCTCCTACTTTTTTGTCTATTTTGAAATACAGTTGAATACAAGGTTCTAGTTGCTCGCTAATCGCAGTGACCCTCTCGGCTGCTGATAAGTGTTCCGGTTTATGCCGCCAAACATCTGCCATGATTGTTCCAGTTCCGCTGTAGAGTATATAGAATATTTTGGTACACATTTGGTGCTCATAAATTTATTAGAGAGATTTTGATATTGTGCAAACAGTATTTGCTTTAAAGCAGTTCGAAAATGGCTCTCAGAATATTTATTTTGTTTTAGTTATTATAGAACTTATGAATTATGATTTCTTCTTTCCCTTCAAAAAAATAACTTCAAATTGAGCTCTGAGAGTAAAGCTAATTTCGCTTGCAAAAACAATAAACTGTACGGTTTATTTTACTGGTTCATTGCACAATAATCGCAAAGCGATGTGACCCATTGTGATCCTGATATGCAATCCGGTTTGTACTTGGATTTGGGCCTATAAAACGGCAACAGACTCTGCTTACAATGCACAGTTGTCTTTCGTTCGTACTTCGGAGATCTGCAGTCTTGCCTTTTTGAATCAAGATGAAATATTTCGCTGTTCTGCTGCTGCTCTGCTGCCTCATGGCAAGTGCTTTGGCCACTCTCAAGTCGCGTAAGTCATAGAAGACAAGTGCATTTAGATGAGTTGCAACTTATTCGATTCGTACTGTAGCTGTCTGTGGAGAGGAGTCTGGAAGGACTGGCGATTGCAGGGCAGCGCTCCCGAAGTGGACATATCGCGAGGATAAAAACGAATGCATTCAATTCTTGTACAGTGGCTGCCATGGCAATGAAAATCTGTTTGATGACAAGCTAAAGTGTGAACAGACTTGCGTAGTCTAAGCCTAAATACATTTTCCCTGATACCGTAGCTTTAAAATGAATAAATTTTCAAGACTTTAATGCTTAAATAATCATGTTTATTGGACCATTCAAAGAGATATCATGGAGACTCGTATCGTATAATAAGTGTAAGCATTCTGGCATTCTGCTGAATGTTTGTCCAGTTTGAATTCCACATACCCACACTTGATGGATTTACCAGACGTAAACAAGTGCGGTCATATACATATATATGTGTACCTATACATGATCATATATGTACATATGTACCTGGGTCTCATTGCATAATCTGTGTTTGCGGTATGAATCTTTAGTCATAAATACGTAAATGGCTGAGCTATTTCCCTGGCTATCTGCCAACTTTCTAAGTGTATTTCGTCAGAGTCCACTAAACTCTCCGAGATAAGAACCGTCTTGTTCTTCCGCCTATATACGCCTGTACGTATACGTACATAGACACTCGTGTCTATAAAGTGATGATGTGGCCTGATGCAGCAGATCAGACTTGAGCTTGTGTTGCACTCAGAATGAAGTATCTCGGAGTTGCAGTGATTGGGCTGCTCATCGGCAGCCTCTCCAGCGGTGGCTTTTTGGTGCAGGCCAAGCCTGGTAAGAATTTGTGTATACCGCATATCCGATTAATGTCTAAGATGTATCTGATGATAGAGATGTGCACTCAGCCCCATTCGATGTCGGGGATGGCACAGGACGCGGCTGCCTGTATGGCCTTTATGCCGGCCTGGACCTATGACGCCGCCAAGAATGCCTGCTCCGAGTTTGTCTTTGGCGGCTGTGGTGGCAATGCAAATCAGTTCTCCTCCCAAGCGGAATGCGAGAAGGCATGCAAGGACTAGCAGCGGGCAAAACCCCCAAAATAAAATTCCTCGAAATTCAACTAAATATTGAACTCTGAAAGGCAAAGCTTGTTTTTGTTTGTGTTTGTGTTTTTTGCAAAAAACAATAAATTTCACTATAATTTCAAGGTTTGTTGTTTTTGTTTACCGCTCGAAAAAACATCGCGAAACGAAACGAAGTGACCCTCCGGCCGCCTGATAAGCGATCCGGTTTGAACCTATAAAACGCCAGCAGACACTGCCTTCAGCGAACAGTTGGTTGTCGTCAGTCCCTCCGAGATCTCCAGTCTTAAGTTTTCAATTTCAGAAATCAATATGAAATATTTCGCTGCTCTGCTGCTGCTCTGCTGCCTGATGGCAAGCGCTTTGGCCGCACTCAAGTCGCGTAAGTTGTAGAAGATATTTGTTTTGGATGATTTGATACTGATTCGATTCGCACTACAGCTGTCTGTGGCGAGGAGTTTGGCAAGCTGGGCAACTGCAAGTCACTGCAGCAGAAGTGGACCTATCGCAGGGACAACAACGAGTGCCTGCAGTTCAACTACAGTGGCTGCCACGGCAACAACAATCTCTTTGACAGCAAGAAAATCTGTGAGCAGACCTGCAAGGTTTAGGCCACAATACCCCACCCTCTTCTCCCATCCCCCTGCATATAAGTAGCTGTAATGTGAATAAATTTCAAAGACTTGTATCCTAATATGATCATCTTTATTGCGCTTTTTCTTTATTCTTTATGATTTAACTCGTTAAACTTCCATTAATATTGGCTTGGCTTATGGACTTACAGTAATTAGTGTCTGATTCTGTTCGTGATTAGGCTATATATCTGATTTGTTGTTAGCTAACACTATATATATGGTATATATGTATGTATATATATTGTGTGTGTATATATTTTTCATATGCATATGCTTGTTAATTGATATTTGTTAATCATTTGAATCGCCTGCTGCTTAGATCAGGGGGTTATCTGAGAAGATTGTTCTACCAGTGAGAACTCTCTCTCTCTCTCTCTCACTATCTCTCTGTCTCTCTCTCCATCTTTCTCTCAGCAATAACTATACTCTAGCTAAGTATCTTTTAATCATTTTTAAAGTGCTTTATTATTTTTCTGTATTTTGTATTTCGTATTTATATATTTTATATTTTTTGTGATTTTTCTGTATTGTTTACTTTAACTTATAGTTAAAACTAATGCTTAGATTAATATTTAACCTTTAGATTTATATAATTTGAATTCGAATTGCACAAGTTGCACCCACACCCACACCGACACCCACACCCCCACTCACATCTTTATTCACTCTTGGCATTCACTGAATTCCCATTCAAAGAATTGGCTCCCGATCCTGGGGCATCCACTGATGCCTGCTGTTGCTGTTGCTGCTGCTGCTGCTGTGTGGGTGTGGTTGGGGGCGACAGCGTTGCATGTTGCTGCTGCTGTTGCTGTTGCTGCTGCTGTTGGTGCTGTTGATATGCCACTGCCGATTCGGCCAGATCCAAGAGTGCAGCCGATGAGCTGACTGCTGGTCCTTGTCCTCCTGCCCCGCTTGCCACCATGCCATTCATGGTCATGTCCTGGGCCTCGTGCTTCATCCGCAATGTGTTGTTATTGTGATTCACGGAATGGGAGTGCGAATGCGAGTGCGAGTGCTGCCCCAGGGCCGGATGATGGGCAAAGGAGAGTGGTGGCAAATGGAGGCCCGGAAAGGCCAGACCGGCAGCTGCAGCGGCATGCAATGACTGCAGCAGTGCCGCCGAGTGCTCCTGTGCCTTGCGACGCAGCTCTGCCACGGAGTTGGAGCGCGGATCATGACCCCCCGATCCCTGGCTGGACTTGGGCGATTCCGGGGAGCTAGCCGCCGAGCTGCTGCTCACGTTGACACTCATCGGCGGTGCCACACCCGAGGAGGAGGGCGGCAGCGGTGGCGGCTTCAGAGAGCAGCAAGAGCACAGGCTCTGGAAGGGCGAGCAACCTGAAAACATGAAAGATTGACTTTGATTTATCTTCCGGAAGAAGCAGCTGCCTCAAGGCTCCCCAGCTAATCTGATTATTCGATTATGCTGAGCATTCTGATTGACTTTTGATCGATTAGCTTACCTTTGAGGCCCGGAAAGAGCGGCTGATGGGAGAACTGGGCCGCCAGATGGGGCGGCAGGAAGAGCGGTGGATGGTGGTTTGTGCCACGCTGTGCCGCCGCCGCTGCAGCCGCTGCTGCCACAGCGCTCTGTTCACTAAGCACCGGACGAAAGCCGCAATTGCTGCAAGCAGAAATTAATAGAAAGAGAATAAAATATAAGCAAGAAAGTTAAGTTATGCCCATGATTGGTCTATGATTAATATTAAAATCAATGCTCTGCTGCTAAGCCACACTGTGAAAGAGAGGCAGGGTAGAGAAGAGCTAGTCGTGCGAGTATGATGATCCGACTATCATTATATTTATACGTCTGTTCTGGTTTATTCCCAGTTACATTTCCAAACACTTTGATCCGCCCTCGCTGTTCCCCTGCACCCATTTACACTTCCATTTACACTGTCAGCTGCTTTGCATTTCGCTTCCACGCGCACATTAAACCGAGAACAGAAAAAACAAACGACGGCCAACGGGCAGGGCAACAAACAGAGTTTTAATTAACGCTTAATTGAAATAAATTAAAACATTTTTATGCGTAATTGCATTATTATTAATAAACCTAAATATTGTGTACTAGAGTGGGGGTTGGGGCTGGGGCACATTCGAGCACCCAGTTGTCAGTTTTGTTGCTGTTCTGTTAATTGAATGAAATATTACGCTTAGTCGCATGTCAAGGCAATTCGGAATAAATAAAAAACGCGATCCTCCCCATTCCCGGGGCCGCAATTAATGCAATTTGAAAATTTTAATTGATAAGTGAGCCAACATTCTGTGGAGCGGGATATGGATAAATATCTATCATCCCCAATAATAAAATTATGCAATATTATAAATATTCTTTTTTTTTATTAGAAATAATTGCGTTTAATCAACTCGTTGGTTGTTTTTTTTTGGGCTAGCCTCGTATCAATTTCGGCTGTGAAAGTTGACCTAGAAAATGGGAAAAATTCAATTTTCATTTGTTCAAATTTACATTAAAAGCCCCCCCTGCGCTTGGCAGTCCCCGGGGGATATTGCCAGACAAATGTGTCTGAAATTTAATAATTTTCAGTGTTGCAGGGAAACAGGAGGGCTCTGGTGTGGTCACAAAAAATCTCTGGCTCTTGCCAAATGCTAATCGAGTTGGTCGGAAAGCGGCATGGACTTGGGGCATGCCTCGCTTCGCCTCGCGAGTCGCGACCACAGCCACCAGGACCACAATCGTCGTGGCCGCTGTCGCTTTTAATTCTCAACGCGTTTCACTGATTTTTTGTACTCCCCAAACATTCCATTTCCATTTCTCTGGCCCTCTAATCTCGTCATGTTTTGGGGGCCGTGATTTTTCGAGGTTTTGCCGCTTTCTCTGTTGACTTTTTGGTAGTTGGAGAATGCAAAACGTTTGGCCGCTTGAAACAGAATTTTGAATGCGGCAGCTGCGTATTTTTTAGCTTTTTTTTGGGGGGGACTTAGATGTCATATTTTCGTATTTTCAAAGCGAAATATTAGCTCATCGGCGGAGATGTTTTATGCTAGTTAGAATCTGTTCCCTATAATTTTATCTCATATTCTTTCCAAAAATAGATCTCAGTTCATCGATGGAAAAAAGCCAAATTCCTTTTAGCTTCAGTAACTTTTTGCAGCCCATGAATAGTTTATGGGTTCAAAAACGGTTATACTCCCACACCCACACAGAGGGATGATATCAGCCATACACATTTCCTTCGCAACCCCCATTGCCACTATTCCCCTCCCTCCCCCAAGCGCCCATGGCCCCTAATTAAGCTTAAAGCCAAAAAAGCAAAAGTCCAAGCGGCAAAAACGAGATGAGAAAACTCAAACACGAACAACAAGGAGAGCAAACACTCAGCCATAGTCGCCCCCATAGTACCCCCCAACTCTATAAACCCCTCCCCCCATCCGTTGCGAAAAAAGCAGTAAACTTAAATGTTTGCGTATAATTAAGCACTCATCCTTTGGTCGTAATTAAATTTTGCATGTGCACATCCAACAGATGCCTCGGACTGGGGGATCCGGCTCTGACTTTGGGGCTCGGGGCTCTTCGTTCTAGAATGTATAGGTATGTATGTATGTATGTATGTATGTATGTATGTATGTATGTATGTTGATTGCTGTAGGCGTCAGCTCTCTGAGGGGGTGGGCATACTGAGAAGGGGTATATAAGTCCCACGCCCTCTCAGCTGCCGCCGCCTTAATTGCTATACTCAACAAGGCAGTCATCCATCTCCCTCGCAAACCCTCTCTTATCCACGCTGTCTCTCTCATTCTCCAGCCTCTGCTTCCCTCCTTTTTTCGCAGCCTTTACTTCTCTCTCTCTCTCTCTTTCGGATACTTTCGTGAGCTTCGCTTCCCTCTCTCTCTAATTAAGACATTCACAAGCTCGAGTGTTGTCGTTGAGCTCGTTAGTTAGTACATAACTTTTCCTCTAGGCTCAGCCAGATGCACGAGGGGCAGGTGTGGGGTCTACGGGGTCTCCCTCTCTCTCTCTCTCTCTCTCTCGGGTAATATTGTCAATGTCAATCTTGTGCCGCATACCTTGGAGGATTAGTCTTACTGGCAAAAGTTTTTCTTAAAATTTTCGCACTTTTCGCACAGATTGCATTTGGCCAAGGATAAAGTTTCCACGACATGCGAGAGACATGCCCCATGTCCCATGCCACATGCCACCACTGTTTCTGTATGTGTGTGTGTGTGTGTGTGTACTCTGGCGTAATTAGTCGGGCAAACATTTTAATGCTTTACGCAATTCTAACAAATTAAACTCAAGCAATCAACACCTACCCAGGCTTAGCTTCTCCCCTCGTACCGCCCCACTCGTGCCACACACTCTCCCCCACCCTCACCCACTGCCTCTTCCACGTCAAAGTCAAACTTAATTTCCGCAAAATGTATTTTTTTTCCACGAAACTTTTTTGGGGTTCGGTTCTTTCCCCGGGACTCTGTTTATTATATTAGGCTACACCCGAAAAGTTTGTTGCCGGCTGCCAGAGAGGCAGGGGTTTTGCTAGGGGAGGGGGCAGGCGAGATGGAGCTTATTTTAATTGCATGATGAATATTAAAATATTTGCTTAATTTATTATTCAGGCATTCGCATTCGTGCGCGCAAACATCACGAATACAGGTGGAATTTTGGCTGGCATCCCAGGTACATAACTACATGGATTGGTGTAGGGGTTTTGGGGGTATGTATTTAATTTTGGGGCGTTTCTACAGCACATAGATGTCGTTACATATTTAAGCAGTTCCTGGCGTGGCTTCCAAACTTCTGTAATATATATTTACGTAGTTATTTGTGCATAAAGTATGTGCGTGTGTGTGTAGAGATTCTCGGGCGGTGCTGTCAGGTATTCAATTAACATTTCAAACTGAAAAGCAGATGATTCCAGCAGATGATTTTCGGGCTTTGGTTTATAGAGGAGCGTTTTGTGTGGATTATTCTGAACATACATATTGTACGATAGTCTTTGGTGGGAAATTGGGGCATATAATTAAGCTATGTTACATAAATGAGTCTTGGCATTTGCAGCAGAATAGTAGAAGACGTCTTCACACTCCCTTCTACACTCGAAGAACGGAGACTTGCAATCACAGATTTTATTCTGTTACACATACAAAAAAAAACACTCAAAAACTCTTCCTACTTTCCTTCAGCGTTTTACTTTACTTTACTTATTATTTATTTGTTTTTAAATGTTTTGGTTTGTGCATTTTAAACATCTTCCATCGCCAAGCCATGACAATAAATATTGCACTTAACTGCTTTTGGGTCATTGCATAATTTGAGATGTGTTTTTATTTTCTTCGGGGGCGCCCATTACGTGAAACCCGTTCTGCAAGTGGAGTCGCCTCTTACATGACTTGCCCCTGACGTCATGCCCGAGACCTTCGCTGGGGCCCTGTCATCCAGGGCAAGATTAGTGCGGATTAGTGCTTATATCTCAGCTGATTGAACTGAAATAATTATTTATTTAGTTGTTCGATTTGCATAAAATATGCGTGCCAGAGCCAGAGAGAAAATCAAAATCAAAATACAAGAAAAGAAAAGAAAAGAAAGCTTTAGCAGCGCATAGATACATATCTTTGGAGTGGAGTCTGCTGAGCACTGAGTGCCTGACTAATGCGATGATAAATGCTTGCGATGAAACGCTTCACTTGAGATTGGAGTCTGGAAGGAAGGACATCCGGCACTGGGGCATTTGAATAACAATATCATAGGAGAGATATCACAAATTCTGAGTGTTTTTCGCATTCAACAACGAAATCGAAATCGATTTGGTCAACCGTTACAGCAGCAGGAATATCATCATCAGGAGCAACTGGCAGGAGTCGCCAGGGGAGGATGCAATGATTCAGCAATCACAGAATCCTCAGAAGCGTGCCCCTGCCCAGTGGGTTGTCCTGCGTCCTGCGTCCTGTCGCCTGGACTATTATGTCTCTACCGGATCCTGTTCTCTTTTTATTGTGGTGTAATATTTGTTGTTTGGGCGCGTTGACATGTGAGTGGAGTGGAGTGGAGTGGCGTGGCGTGGACTTGAGGGCCGCCCGTGGCCTCTTTGCTGGCTGATGAGACCGCCCACTGATACAGATACAGAGAGTACAGAGAAACCGAGAGAGTACAGAGATCTATACAAAAAAAAAAAACCACTGCCTTTTGTGCGTCGTTAGGCCCGTGGCATATGGTTACTTTGCCAGCGAATTTCGACTACAACAAAACACCCCCCGTTTACGCCCAATTTAATTTTCAAGTAGCTTTTTATGGGCCTGTGGCCTGCAGATGCTGGAAAATTTACAACTTGTGATCTGAGTGGCTCAAAGGCAAGAAATAACAGAGTTAATATTCATTATGAATATTGAATGAGAAGCTGCGAATGGGATTTGATGCTGAATGCTGAATGCTGGTAGGATGATTAAAGGACGATCCACATCTTGTATGCCCAAAGAAATTATAGGATTGTCTGATCGATTCAATAGAGAAATAGAAGAAGAATCATAATCCCAAATAATAACTATATTTTTATCTCATTACAGCCAGAAATACGGTGCTTGCACTTGTGCGAAATTTCAAATGAATTGCATGAATGTTAAGTGAAATATTCAAGTAAGCCAATTAGGATTCCAGCTACTGCAGTTTCCACCACCTCCTGGGGGACTATCCATGTCAGCAGCACCCTCTCCCACATGCCATCTACGTACCATGCGTACTCCCCCATTTCGATTCGACATTCGCAAACGATTATAAACCCAACGATCTGCTAATTGCCTGCGTGTCATTAAGCTTCCACTTACAAAGGAATTAGACAAACAAACAATAAAATTTATGGCAAGTGTCGCATTTTGTCATCAAGCAGCGACAGCGACAGAAAACAACTGCCAGCAAAAATAAGGCAAGAAGGAAGGAAACAGAAGGAAGGACTCGACTCATTGCAACCCCTGGAAGTGCTCGGCGCAAATATTTACGAAAAATCCCAAGCACTGGATTGCGACAAATGTCACCCCTAAGTGGGCAGGGCAGCCACTCCATCTCTCTCTGCTGGCTCTGGCTCTGACTCTTCGTATGGTTTCTGTTCTCTGTTTTGGTTTTCTGGCGACGATGACTAAATTAGCCGTTGATTGCACTAGCAGGAGGATGGCAGCGGAGGTCAGACGGTCCAGCCAGACAACGACCGCAATGAGAGCAATAATGACATTAGATGTTTGGGTGGATGGACGGAAGGACGGTGCTTGGACTTGGGAGTCGCAGTCCCTTCGTCTGAGGGACCGACTCCTGTGGTGCTGCCTCCTCTCACGGGTTATTGAACAGGCGTGCGCAACGGAAGGCGTTTCTACTTAATGCTCTGGATGGAAAACGTTTAAATTCCATTGGCGCACTTCCGGTCAGCGGATGTCGTGTGCGCCAGCGGAAACATTAAGAGAGCAACATTCGCCTCGCACTCTCTGCCCACCATCCAATCCTCAGCGCAAAGAAATCCCTGCCCTAATGATGCCGTGCCATTGATACCATCAACGGCACGTGCAAAAAGAAGGGCGCCCAGTGTCTAATCACCAACGGAACATCGCCTGAATGACTCGCGCCATTGTCTTTAACATATGTGGGATATGCCACACGGATAGTCGCTTCTATCTATCGGTAGGTAGGATGGTTGTGGGATGTGCCAATCCAATCCCTTTCGAATGAGTGCGAATATAAGTGACTAAGTCTACGTGAAATATCAAGAGCTTGATTTTCTATCTTCTGTATGATTCGGAGGTAATATTAGTAGCATATCTATCTATAGTTAATAAGCTTTGGAAATTATTTAAGGCGAATAGAAGCCCCTCTCTAACAGTCTTTTATGTGCATCATTCTGAGTGGGATATATCACAATGGAATACTTCCACTGCTAAGCGGAGTATCATTTAATATAATACAAATTTACTTACTTATCGCCGGCGCTTCCAGCACCAAAGCTGCCAAAGATGTGGCTACCAAAGGCCGCGGCCGCTGCAGCCGAGCTGTGCGGCATCTGGGGGGCATGCGGCGTCGTGGGCGTTGGCGTTGGCGTGGGCGTGGACGAGGCCGAGTTATTCGAGGAGTGGTGGCCCATCCGGGAGCCGGTGGTCAGCGACATGGGTCCACCCACCTCGATGGGCGAGTCGGTGTTGCGTGAGTTTGAGGGGCTGCTGGGTGCCTGGCCGCTGGCCAGCGGCGTGTGCTCACGCATGCCCGGCGACGGGGAGCCGGCGCTGATGGAGCCCAGCGACTGCGAGGCTGAGTGCGGGGTGGCGGTCAGCTGATTGGAGGACAACGGACGCTCGTTGTCGCTGGAGTCCAGATGCATGTTGCCGCCAGGGCTGTGCGAGTGCGAGTGCGAGTGCTGCTGCTGCTCCATGGGGCCATTGGCCATGGGACTGTGCGAGCGCTGACGCGGCATTTCGTCCATGTCGTCGTCTATTTCGCCAGTGATGTCTGGCGAGGACTCGCGTGAGTCATGGAGCTGCAAGGAGCGAGTGAAGTACTGACTAATATCTAGCTCTCTGCTCCGCGTGGAATTTTCATTCCTCGCTATATTATTTTCTTTGCCCCTTACCTTATCCAACGAGCTGCTGCTCTCGCCATTTTCTCGCTTGCGCTGCTCATCCTTGAGGCGCTCCGCCTTGCGCCATTTGGCTCGACGGTTCTGGAACCAGACCTAAAGGCAAAACGGGAACGGGAACGAGAACGAGGAGAATGAAATTGATAAAGTTTTTAGAAAATTGGCCACATGACTATTATTTGTGCCACGGGGCAAGTTCTCTTGACTTTCGCCTGGCAGCCAATTGAAAATTGAAAAACTTTCCCCACACACAAACACACACACACAGAGAGCAGAATGATTGTTGCTGTTGTGGAAGGAGGAGGAGGGGAGGGTGGGAAAACAATAAACAAAATTTTCCACCTCACAAACTTTAACAATTTGCTTTCCATTCCCCTTTCCATTCCCTGTTCGCTTTCCCCGTTTCGCTTGCCCCCTTCCCTGTTCGCTTGCCAATCTAAGACATAAACAAACAAAATCTGATTTTCAATTTTGCCAACGAAGACAAAACAAATTTGGCCTGTAATCAGCGCCTAAATTTTTGGTGGGGTAAGGACGGCACGGGGGCACACATGGCATGGCATGGCTGCTGCTGCTGCTGTGCTGCTGCTGCCTTACCCCTAATGAGGCTCAATCAAGACAATGCCCTGGCATCCTCAAGACACAACAGACACATCCTTTTGGATTGCTTGCTTATGCGCGCGTGTTTCCAGTCCTTCCACTGCCGCTGCCTCTGCCTCTGCCGCTGCCACTTCCGCTTCCCTTTCGTTTCGTTTGCTTTTAGTTCCGGTTTGCGCTGATTCCCCTTAGAGCTTAGAGCGCCCCTAATGGGATTTCCGTTAGAGGCGCCATCTTGAATGTTCTCTCTCTATCCTGTCTGTATATATATCAGAGTGTGTGTTGGTGTGTGTGTGTGTGTAAGTAAATTTCCTAATCAAAATTCAAATTAGACATTGTGCAAAAGTTCGCCTTCATTCAGCCTTCATTGTTGTAATCATAACGCAACATAAAACAATTTCAACATTCTTTGCCCCAAAGGCAAATGGGGCTCCAACTGCCACTGCCGCTGCTTCTCATGGCCGCCATGTTGCCCCAGACTTGTATAGCCCCAACTCCCGCCCTGGCAAACAATAAATTGCGCACAATCCAACCCCCAAAAGACAGGCAGGGCAGCCACCCACCCACTCCCTCCCAACATAGCACACACACACATCCACCTCCACTCCCACTCCCATTCAGTGCTGAACTTTTCCTTCGTTCGTCTCCCTTTTTTTTTTCGGTGGTGACGCCCACCAGTTACTTAATACAATATTTATGCCATAAGCACATTACCAATAAAATATGGCTGGGCGAACTTTTTTCCTTGCGGCCCTTTGGGGGTAGCATAGAGCAACAGAGACGCAGATATAACCAGACAGGGACAACAGGAGTGGCTGGTGTAGCTGCTCCTTCCTTCCCGCCTGTTATTATGACAAAAATTGAATAATGAAAAACAATTGTGTGCTCACTCACTCCGCCTTGCCTTTGGGGTATACACCACTATATATGTATATATATGTATATGTATATATGTATGTTTTTGCCTTCAATAATAATTTCATGCACAATTTTGCTTTGTTTTATTAGAGCCCCCAGACCTCAACGTGTTTCCTATTTATTCAATTCCACTTGGTTTAGTTTCTTGATTGCTTGCTGATGCTCCGAGAGGAGGAAGAGGAACTGCTGCTGTTACCAGAAAGACAAAAAACGAATGCATCTTAGATTTTTCCATTTTTAGGAGGAAGTGTTAAGGTGCCTAAAGAATCGATGCAGTGTGGGTCACCAGAACATTGAAATACCTACACACCTGCCTTTCTCTGCACATGTTAATTAAAGCAGAATATAAATGAGCAAATGGCTGGAAAATGTACGCTACGGAAGAAGCTGAAGGGTAAGAATTATTTCCTTACTTAGTTTAATCGTTTAATTTAACTGCAACAGTTCAGCGAAAGTTCAGAATTTTAGTACAATTCGAGGCTACAATTTTTGTTTGTATGCAATTTAAATTTTCTTAGAAATTAAATTATTAAATCACAATAAATTATTTTTTGAATATTTATTACTGAATAAATATTCTGAGATTCCAAACGTATACCGATTCTGGACAACCAAGCCCAAGAAGGATCCCTACCCTGCCCGAAAACCTTCAACCCAGAGTGCACTCCGCTCCACATGTCTCTCCTTATCAACACATCTTGGATCGAAGCACCCTTCTCCATTACCCACTTCAAGTTATTTATTTATTTAGCCAAGAACAACGCCCAAAGGCGGCAAAAAGTTCTCATAATTCTCAGGAACAATGGCAACAATGGCAAGCGAATAATAAGCGTAACAATTATTCATATACTCCGCTTCCAACAGCAAACAGCAAACAGAAAACAGAATTTTTGCGGTTACAAGTTACGAAAACCGATTTGCCATGAAAACGAAAACAAATAAGCAAACAAGCAGGGAAGCAAGCAAGCAAGGACGGGGTCCTGGGGAGAGAACGCACTCGTCGTATTTATGGCAGGGAGGGAGGGCCAGTGTAAATAAAACAAAGTTGTTACACACCAAAATTACAGCAAAAAAAAAAGGAAACAATGAAGTTGAACAAAAGGTAAACACCACCCAGAGTACGCCGCGTATCTGGGTATGGAGAGGGTGAGGCTGAGGCTGAGGCTGAAGACCCAGCAGGGTCTGGGGTAATTACGGACAAGTGCGCACCATTAGCTTCCGCAAACAGTTTGTTCCTGCCCCGGCTACTGCCACTGCGCTGGCAAGGGGCACAAGGAAACACTCAATGCAAACAACACCCAGGAGCCAGGAGCAAGGACCAGCAGCCGATCAGGATGATGAGGAAGCAGCTCAAGTGGAATGAATGAACAGATGTGTTAATATCAAACGCATTTTGAGGTACCACCCAAACCCTTTGCAACAATAATTGGGCTACCGCAACAGCCAACACCATGCACCACGCTCTCCCGTACTCTCCCGTACTCTCCCGTACTCTCTCTCTTTGCCATCCCTGTGGAACCGCCCATCGCCGGGGGCTAGCCATAAGGCTCGGTTCGGTTCGACTACCGCATTCGGTTCGAGGCTGCCATCAACTTGGATCAGCATTAAAGGATTACTCGAGCAAATGCAATTATTTGACAGGCTGGTCCTGGTCAACCCCTTTGGGCGCTTCAGCCCGCAACCACTTCCACACACCCACAAAGCGAATTCCTTCCTTCCTTCCATCCTTCCATCCTCATCGTCATCTTCTGCGGTTATTCTTTTCTCTCCTCGCTAGTTTCTCGCATTCGCCGCAGTGGTATTTGGTTCCTGTGATTATAATAAATTATCAATTATTGGCATTATATGTGGTCGCCCACTCTTTCGTTGCTCCGAAGGGGTTTGGCTTGGGTGGTGCTTGGCAGTGGGTGTGGGTAGGGGTGTGGCTGTTTCTCTTGAGATTGCCGTGGACTGTCGTTGGGTCTGGGCTGAGCACATTAATTCTAATCGAATTAGTTATGTATGAGGTGCGCATATAGTCGGAAATATGAGACGCGCTAATCGCAGTGCTGGAGTGCTGTAGTGTGGCCTAAGGACTTCATTATTTATCGTCTATCCGGGGAAATTGATAACTAATGTTGGAGCGAACGAGGGGCTTATGGCGGATATCGTGATTAATGTGTGCGGAATTATTGTAGCTGGAATGGCAGGCAAGTTCCCCATAACTATTTGCTACATATTGATGCAGATTAGGAGCACACCAGTCGATGATTTATGAGTGCAGAGCTTTCAGTACTTTGATAATTTATATGATTTTCGACTCATATAAAATATTATCAATTACTGTAAATATAAGTGTACGAAAATATAATTTAAATTCTCTCCACAATACATTTTCCGATGGACTCACATCTCGAGAGGGTTTCCCCCAATATCTAGCATTCAAAAATCAAATTTTTCACTCATCTATCAATCAATATCACTTATTGGAAAGCTCTTCGGCATTAGCTCACAACTGGAAAGTGCTTTGTCCTTGTCAGGTGCACAGCCTCCCCATCAGGTATTCGCTGTACGCGTATCCGTGGGGCCTGATCCACAGCTGGGATTCCTGGCTTTGCCTATAAGCTCGCTGGGATACATTAAGTAAATGATTTTTGCAATGAACTCAAATGCGTTGCGACAGGCAGCAGCAGCACCAGCAGCAGGACCCTCTACTGGGCTCGTGGTTGGGCATCAAAAATTGACAGACGAAAAAATCTCGTGGAAAATCGTATCGGGTTACAAACGTTGGGATTCGCGAGGCAGATCCATAGAGCGGCTAAACTGAAGTCGGCGGGGAGTTCCATTCCAGCCGGGGGGAATCAAACGCAGTACACATAATAAATTGTATTATAAAATTTATTTTCGCTCTGCTATGGTGGGTCCCCCACTAAAAAAAAATGTGTCAAAATGTGGTCGAGAGAAAGGGAGGATGGCGCCGCACCGCACCCTCATCAAAATATTTGGCATTCATTCCATTATCGAAATCCCAGACTAAGCTGTCCAGTCCGACCACGAAAAAGTTTTGCCGCTTTTTCCACCAATTTTTCCACAAATTTGTGTGTGTTCCTTTTTTTGTGTGCTTTCGTGTTGGTCTGTCATTTAAAGATCTGTCTCTCTGCTCTCGTTATAAACTCGGACCAAAGTTGGTGGCATTTGACAGACGATTGGGGGTGGGAAATAGACAAGGGTTGGGGGGTGGGAACGATATCTTGGGTAATTTTGTTAGGGCCTGACAAGTACACGTGTTTGCGACAAGTGTCCCATTGTTGGACACTTGACATGCAGCATTCTGTATTGTGTAATTTTTTATTATTGCAAATTGAATTGAAGGTATCTGGTTACGCCTGAGAAAGTCATTCATCGGAGAAGGAGTACTACGAGGGGTACTACGTATATATGACATGAGAAGTGGCCTAATTGGGCCGGAAATAGATGGGATGGAGAGGACGTTGTCATTGCCATATAAATGCCACCAAAGTGTTTTTAATAGCCACCAAAGTGTGTGTGGGCCTCCGACAACGTGTCTAGTTAGTGTGGCATCCTCATTAAGTTTCGTTTCTGCATCTTTTTCTGTGCATAATTTGCTTTTGGCCTCAGATACAACGTGCTCGAGTGTGCACACAGTCAGCCTGCCTGCCTGCCTGCCGCCCACCCATAACCTGACCTGAGATATGATGACGCTGCTCCAAGAGAGAGAGAGAGAGATACAGATACAGAGGGGCTCTTTAAGTGTGGAAGTAGATCCGCTAATTGTCAGCTTTCCGTGCGCTAATCTGACAAATGCACCACACAATTCCATGCAAATTGGCCCCGTCTAATGGTTACCACAGCTACAGTTACAGTTAACAGTTACCCCTTTCTTACAGCCCACGCTACAAAAATCGTTTCCTGACTTAATTTGCATCTGTAGCCGCACGAAGCTGTGCGGCTCCGTTGCCTCGAAAGTGATTCTAATTTTGGAAACAATTGTCAATGAATGGCATTAACCAGGAACAAAATGAATGAACATCGTAAGCATGACTGAATGGCAGACACAGGGCAGACAATTGACGCAAATATAATGAGGTTCAAGAGCCATGTAAAAGCATGTTTCCGTGCAAGAGAATAATGGATAATTGCTGAAGGAAATGGATCTTCGAAGAGTGATTATTTTGAGTTCTATTAGTAACCTTTCTACACTCGTAATTATGTTCGAAATTTAGTCAAGTTTTAGGTATATTCTTCAAAGATTTTGGAACATATTTATTCAACATTCAACATGACTACTTAACCTACTTTAACTGCTCCTACAATCATCATTATTCTGCTGCTCATAAGCGTCCCTGAAGCAAAACGAAACTCTCCTCCAACTGTTATATTGAAAAGTAAATTTGATTTATTTAGGGGCATGGAGGGGAGCCTTGATAACCAGCAGAGAAGAGCAATTTGCCATGCCCTCAGTGCCCAGTCCCCAGTTCCCATTCCCCATTCCCCTTGCCTTTTCCATTTTCTTTTTATTTTCTCTTTTCCTTTTTTTTAACGCTTAAGAACTTTGCATATTTTGCTGCTCGGCTGTGTCTGCCTCTTGCCTGGCGTCTCGTGGCACATTCAAAATGTATATAGAATACTTTTTTTTTTGTGTTTTAAGGAAGTTATTGCATTAGGTATGTAACGTGCCACCCCGTCCGAAACCCATTCCCCTGTCTGTTGTAATCCTCCTCCGAATCCTTGGGCCTTTACAGCGCATGCATATGCATTATTAATAGAGAAGGATTGGCAGGAGGATGAGTTCCAGAGAGAGAGAGCTTTGATCAGACTGCGTGACCTGCCCAGGGTTGTCCTACGGTTATTCTTATGAAATTTGATACGATTTTGTAAACTTTTTCCATATTTTACATAATTTTGCAGAGCCCCAAAAAGGGGTCAGCGAATCAGTGTTTGCAAGATGGAGTCCTTACCTGAACACGTGCCTCTGTGAGGTTGATTTTCATGGCCAGATCCTCGCGCGTAAACACATCCGGATAGTGGGTCTGGGCAAATGCCGTCTCCAGCTCCTCCAGCTGTCAGTCCGCAAAAAGAAAATAATTAAAAATGTAACAACATTTCTTCCTACATTTTCCTTTTCACAGTTTTCCTTCCAGCTTCTGCTGCTTGCTCCTCTTACCTGTTGCAGTGTGAAGGTGGTGCGATTCCGTCGCTGCTTCCGCCGGACAAAGGTCTCATCGTGTATGGCAGGATGATACGAGTAGCTGGTGTCTGTTGCAAGCAGAAGAAAACACGGCAAGCATGGGTATTAGTCATGTGAGGTGTTGCATTAGCAGGCATAATTCAACTAGTTGCAACTTGGGGGATTTACTAATTGAAAAGCGGGAGAGCATAAGTGCCGATAAGCTGGGGATATGTTTTTGTTAGCTTCCGACACTATCTTTTAGTAGGAGATCTAATTAAGGTTTTAAGTAGGGTTTTTAGTAGGGAGTTTAGGAGCTTGAAGAAAGTACTTCTGCCTCTGGTGTCTTTGTATCTGACATTTGCTAATATTTGTGCCTATTTCCCCTGTTATTTGGAATACTTTATTCAATCTGTCTACCTACAGTTCCCACAAATATTTCTGTTCATACCTCTGCACGTTGCACTCAGGATTCCCTTGGAGTTGATCTTCCAATAACTGAAAGCGGAGACAAAGTTTCCCTCTAAATTTTGTATGAACCAACTATAACTGCCTGAGAAATCATTCATGGAGGAAGAGTTTTCTCCACAGTGCCTTCAGCAACCCTTTCCCTGCTCGGCTGCCACATGCCTTTGCTGAAAGCCAGCTGTTGCCAAAAATTGCAGGCTAATTGAATTTTCTAGCAGCAGCGCCATTTTGTATGCTACAAAATATTTTATAACTGCCTTTTGAGCTCCAGCAATAGACAGAGCAAGGGAGTGCAAAGTGGGGAGGAAAAAGGCGTTGACAGCCCCACTTGACCTCCACTCAAAAACCACCCTGCTACATTCCCCAACGAAAAGGGGTGGCAGCAGCATCAACAGCAGCAGCAGCAGCAGCAGGGGAAAATGTAAAACCAAAGTCCAGAGGCAAAAGTCGGAAAAGGCGGAAACTTTGTCGGACCTTTTTTGCCGGACCGGACTCCGTTTCGGACTTTCGCTCGTGTTGTAAAATTAATTTTCAATTTGATTTTAAATAAATAATTAGCTGGCAAATTGCAAAATTTAATTTTAATTTTCTTTCGTTGCCAAAGCTCTTCTCTCTTTCTTTCACTCTCTCTCTCTCTCTCTTTGGCTGGACTGTGTGTCAACTTTTTTGTCTCTCTCTCTTGGTTTGGGCTCTAATCCGATTAGCTGAAATGTTGTTACTTTGGCATTCATTTGCGCTATGCTGAAGGTCGTACCAGAGCCAGAACTCAGGACTCAGAGGCCAGTCCTCAAGCCCATGCCCCGCAGGGACTCTACGTAATGCGCACTAATGTTGTTTGCTACGTTTTTCTTTCCCTCCCTCTCCCTCTCTCTCACTCTCTGGCCCATGTCTCTGTGGGTCGGAAAAGTGTCGCTGTGCTTGTCATCGATTAATATTTAATTATGAAAATAATTAGAAAATGTTTCTCAGGTAAGCAAAGCCATGAATCCATGTATTCTGCTAATGAAGCACGCCGAATAGCAGACCGAAAATCAAGCAATCTGTTCACAGATGAGGATGAGGATGAGAAGGAGGACGAACACGAGGACTAACTCGTAGGCTAATCGAATAGTCGATGAGTCAGGATACGTGCACTCAGCATATCTTTTTGTGGGGGCTAAAGTTAGCATGTTAATTTGATGGCAAGATAGGCTATCATTAGGGGTGAGTATAACCAAAGACTCTATAACAGTTGTTATAGAGTCTTTGGTATAACGACACGATAGGTAAAATATCAATTATTTAACCGCCAGCTAAATATATAAAAAAATCACTATCGGTAGAAATATATAAATAAAAAATAATATACTTTTAATTAGGAAATTTATAATATTTTTATTAATTATAATCAACAACTATCGACTATATATCCATAGATATCGCACCTTATCATACCATCTTCTAGCCCATAGACCCGTTCTGTGTGTTCTCATCTCTACCTTATCTCATATCTGCCTAGCAGCTGCTGCACTGCAATTTTCTTGCTAATCAAATTCTTTGCAGCCAATAATTGCCTAAAATGCAAATGGAACTGCCCAGAGAACAGGAGCAACAGAGCGGGCACAGAGCAAGGATGATTTTCGGTCATAAATGCCTCAGGGCCAGCAGAGAGAAGAACCGAAAAGCGTTGAATGGGGGCAACACAGCACACACACACAGCACACACACACACACACACACAGACGAGAACGACCAAGCGGCAATTAGCACAATTAGGTTTCGAGTGCAAATCCCAAAGCGCAGCAAAAGCTTGGCCCAATCCAGTCCAGTCGTCTCTGCAATAAGAATTTCATGCTGAAAGCTTTGCTGTGGCAACAATTCCCCAAAAACCCAAAAACCCAAACCCAAACCAGAGGAAGAGGCAGAACCCAGTCGCAGCCCGAAACAACCCCACACTGTGTACTCATAGAGACCACCCTCATGTTCCTGCCTCAAACATCAAACGTCATGCAGTGGCAGTGGCAGTGGCACCAGCACCAGCACCAGGAGCAGGCACCAACAAGTCAACTAACCGCACTTGTCAGGAAGACAGGATTAACAAATCCTTGTTGGCAAATTGATTCAAAAAGTACGTACGCAAGGGGGGCGCCGCACAGACGCAAGCCATCCCATCTAGCCATCTCTTTCGCTGTCAGTGGTGGGATGGGGGGAGGGGCAGAGTCTGTCTCTTTCGTGCCATAGCCACAGATCTGCTCTGCTCTGCTCAGTGCTCTCTGCTCTGTGCCCTGTGTCTGCTCGTTAGCTGCGCCGGTAATGGGAGATAATTCAATTTTTAAACATTTGGCATAACAAGCGAAACCATCATTAAGGGATTTTCGGTCTTTTGCCTTGCCTTGCCTTGCCTTGTCGATGGAGATGGACGGCTGGAGAGGGAGTCATGGCAGTCAAGGAGGAGTTCGGGCGCTGGCAATCAACTGCCAACCCATTCGCCACCCACTCAAGGCATGTCTGCTGTGCTGTTTTTGTATCTGCAAGATACATGTCTGCAACTTTGTCTGCCATTCTTGTATCTATACCAAACAAAAATCAATTTTCATTCGATTTCTCCGCTTTCGTTTACTTAATCCAAGAGCCAAAGGAATTAGCATTCATTACAGGAGTATTTTGAGTAGTTTCTCGAGCTCGAGATCTCGAGCAGTGCCCTAGTTTTCTGTCCACCCCTCCTGCCTGTCCCCCTGGCGACAGTATTCCCATTGCATAAGGTTGAGCTGAGCATCGCGTCACCCCTTACGAAAGTGTCGCCAGCGTCTCAATTTCAGTTCGTTCTCAAAAGTCCAGGCACGCGTTGGCAAAATTTTAAATTAGTTTAGCAATTGAGAAGACTTCAGCCTCAGCCTCAGCCTCAGCCGCTCTGAGTTCTTTTGGGGTGGCTGGTAGTACGAGCTGTGGGGAATGCCAGGCAAATCACGAATTGGAATCACGAAAAAACAGAAACTAAATTGAATTAGCTATGCAAATGTTGGCTGAGTGTTTCTCTCTTTTTGTTGTGTTTCGGTGATTTGTGAGCAATATTTATTGGTTTGCTCATGAGACACGCCCCAAATGGGTTCGTTGTGGGAACTTTGAATCGATTATATACGTATTATATGCACATTATATCGCTAGAATTATAAATATGCATTTCAGGATATTCAAGTTAAAGTCTACTGCCAGCAATCCAACATCCACCCTGGACTTAAATTACCCAGGCACATTAAACGCGGCCCAAATCAAAAGCGACAGCCCCCCGACAGCCAGCAGAGGTGCCTGACCTGCGATGGGCCTTGGGCGCTCCGCTCATAACTCCCCGCTGAAACATAAGTTATCTCATCTTCGTCGGCGAGTGCGAGTGCGAGTTTCTATCTATCTGTCTGTCATATTGAATCAGTCAAGAGTAAATAGAATTTGCACCTGATTAGGATTAGAGCACAGAGTCAGCCAGCCAGCCAGCAACAGAGGGGGGCATTGCGCCCCGAGGAGCAGAGAAGAGAGAGAGAGAGAGAGATCTACGTGCCAAGATGTTTCGTAATGCGTTCGTAAGTCCTCATCTAATCCCATTACCTCGCACACACACACACACATTCCCCCAGCTAGGGAGCCACTAAATGCACTGCAATTTGTGGCAAGTATTTTTTGTGGTCTCTATTTTATTTTCATGTGTTTTGTGTTTTTTTTCGTAGATATCTTTTGGCGGTGCCTTTTATGGGGGGAAGTACAAATCAATAAACTATTTGCGGTGTCGGCTGCTGGCGCTTTGATTTATGATTTTCGATAAATGCCGCCGCCTCAAACTCCAAATAAAACCGAAATAAAACGCAGCGAAACGGAAGGGAAATCGACTCGAAATCTGTTGAAATCTGTCGAAATCTGTCGTCGCCACATTCCGAGAGTCAAGGCAAAAATTTGCATGGCAAAGCATTAACGCTTTTGCCATACCGATAATTGCATGAAATGAAATCCAAAAATTCCCTCACCAGTACCAGTCGTACCTTTCCGTATACCTCATACCCCACACCCATCCGCATCCCCTCCCCTCCACTCCGATTGCAACCAATTCCATTCGAATGGATCGCTTCACTTTTCGACACGTTCACGTTTGCTTGACTTTGCCTTTGGCCACTCCTTTGCTCCAAAAATGCTCCCGCTCCCGCAGCCTCTCTTTCACCCTGCATCTGCCCCTCTCTTTCCCCTTTGGATGATTCTGCATTCAAATATCGATTGAGCTGCCTGTATGCTGTATGCTGGTATGCCCTGCTCCCCGTCTCTGTTATTTTTCTTTTTATTAAATTATAGTTACGAGTATATGGTGTGCCACTGCCTCTGCCTGTCTCTGACTCTGCTCTGGAGTGCCAGGAAAAGTTTATTTCGTGGGGATTGGGGCTGCCCAATTCTGAGAGGAGGCACAGGGAGCGGACCCATGGCAAGGGCTATGCGATGCAGAGGCGCCCTGCAATAGAAAATCAAATTGCTCCTCTGTGGCTTTTCTTTACACGAAATTCAACGAAATGGCGTTTAATGGAATTTTTATGCGCGCCAACATCCCAAAGAATTTTCCATCTAACTGCGGGTATTTTATTTTTCATTCATACGCTAAGTGCCAGAGATTCTCGGTTAGGGAGAAACGGGAGGGTACTCCTTTTTTTTCATAATAAAAAAAAATAAATATGGGAAATATTTGAAGAACCCAAAATTGAAGGTTTTGGAGGGGAATTGAAGTGCGAAATTGAAATGGTTGGTGTATATAGGTTTATACGAGTATAGTCCTGTTAATAGAGTCGTGAAAAGATAGGTAGAATATTTAATGATAGATAGTTAATGAATAAATGGATCCTAAAAATATATATCTACGAGTTACTCCACTCAATTCTTTAAAGCTTGCTAAATAATACCTTTATTTAGATGGTTTAACTTTCTCCTCAAAATAATTTCCTGCTGTAATATTCTGCATAAACTTTACTCTATTCCCTTGCCTTCTATGCCTTTCTCTATCTCCCTATATATAGTAAATATATCCGTTTCTCTTTTCACTCTCTACTCTCGTTAAGCCACACACTTACCCTCTGAGCGTGCAACAAACTTTCAAGAGGCAAACATCAAACTCTCGACATGTGCGCCCATGAAATCTGATATGCCACATCGCCAGAGAGCGCGAGAGAAGGTCTACCCTTAGAGCCAAGCAACCCCCCTGCTCTCGATACAACGTGCTGCTAATAGAATAATTCGTTAATGTAACTACAAGATACAAAGATACGCAGATAGACAATAATCCATTGACAGCCGGCGATTATCATTGGCTTTTTATCTAAATTTAATTCGATGCGAGCGAATAGATTGCACTTTTGGCAGCCAGACGAGTCCATCTGTTCCTCCGCTGCATACTCGTATAAGATGATGATGTTTTGGATGGGATATGGGGTATACTCACATGGATGGGTGGCAGCAAAGGGATAGTCGAGCGTTGGCAGGCGCGGCGGATGCGGTCCGCAGGGATGGAGGGCGGGCGGACACTGATAGCAAAACATTCCTCTGCCCGCAGCTGCAGGACCGAGCTGTAAACAGAAAGAGAACAGAGAAATATGTATGTATAATCAGAATCGGAATCGGAATCAGTGGGGGGAAAATTGAGGACTTAAATCGATATAAAGAATCTTTAAATTGCAGATAATTTTGATAAATTCACTTGCCCGTCACGCTGTCAATGGATGATGAACAAGAAACTTGTAATTTAAATGCACAATTCAATTGAAGATCGCAGAGGGACGTGGACTGGTTCCGAGACTGAAACTTCGACTGAGACTTTGACTTCGACTTCGACTTGAACCAAATTGAGACTGAGAATGCGGGCTTGGGCCTGGGCCTGGGGCTGGGCTGGGGTATATGTGTAGCAGCGACTCTGCGTCGCCTTTAATGTTGTCATATGCACCTCAAACTCAATTCGATTCAATTAAAGGCAATTACAGACTTCTGACAAATAATCTACAATCGATTTCATCTGCTTTTGCATCTTCTGCTGTCTGCTGCTCTGCTGCTCTGCTGCTGTGCTCTGCTGCATTTGCTCTGTATTTGTCGTTGTCGTTGTCGTCGCTGTCTGCATACAATTAAATTGTCCTCAAACGAATCAATTGATTTAAATTAATTGCATTTGCCGCAAAAGACTGTGACTCGATGTACTGTAAGTACTCGTATTGCCATCACTGTAACTCAAAACGATGCGATGCGATGCGATGCTCTCTCTCCTCTGTTGATGAACTCACATCAGTTATGAGCCGCCCGAATGGCCGAATGGTTTCCATGAATTTTACTGGCGCCTTGCCTTGCCTCAAATGCATTTTACTGCTTAATTAGTTGAGGAATTTCTCATGCATAACCACAGTACGGGGTGGAAAATGGCCTACTGGAAAAACCCATCCACAGATATCTATGCAGGGAAGGGGCTGCAGGAGGGAACAAGTCAAAATGTCACACGAGAGATGAGTAAGAGGCTCTGAGAAAGTATCTTTCTGTTGCTGAGGGAATCTTTTTAGCAAGCTGTAATTGATATGGGTGGGAATGGAGTGAAAGATCTTCACTCGAACGAGAGCAGAAGATACAGATCCTTGATTTATAATTCATCAATATTCATGATGCTTTTCATATGTTTTATTACTCTGATATTTTATGGTAAATGTGTTGCCCTTTGTACCTCTTCCTAAATTCAGTTTCCAACCAAATATGTATTTCCCCATTCATATAAAGTACTCTCCGTGTGGCGCCATCAATATGTAATAGTTCCTGCATACATTTGGGAATAATATCACCATCCATCCAGCCATCCATGGACACATTCCAATTTCCTGTGTTTATATTTCCAAAAACTGTTTTTATTTATTTGGATATCACATCTGCAGTTACATTTCAATTGCAATTAAAATTAATTGTAAGCTTCGCCCCGAAAGCCAGCCAAAAAACCAGACCATAAACCACTGGTGCACCACTCGGCTACAGGTGGGGCATTTCCCCCTTTTCCGCTACATTCTGATCTCTCTTTCTCCTTCTCCTTTTTGGCGGCAGTCTGCAGTTTCCCATTTTCCTCTATCCCCCCCCTTTGCTGGTGACATTTTAATTTATTTGAGTAAATTTGTTAAATATTTTTTATGAATTTTATTTATGGCAGAGGCCACACGTCAGGGCTACCACTCACCCACTACAGCCACCCACTGTACCAGCACAAGTGTTAGCATATCATGTTACAGACTATTTCCGCCAAATTTACACACGCAAAATAATTTAACGTGCTCAGCGGTTGCCTGCCGCCCTGCGCGTGTCCTGGCTGCTGCCTACAATGTACATATGTACATATATCCTGTGTCGTACCGCCTGCCTGGTCACAGATGCGGTCCTGGGTCCCCAAAGCACCGGCGAATGCGATGCCACGACGACCCCCGACAAGTGGCGCCAATAAATTTCCATTTAGCAAGAGAACGAGCCGGGCCATCACCTGCCCCCGGATCCGGGTACGGGCCCACCATCCCATTGCCATGGGCCCTGGGCATTCCATTAGAATTGTGAGAATTTGTAATTTTGCATAATTGTTATATTTGGAGTCCGTCGGCCGCAAAACTCATTTGCCAAATGGAAAATTGCCATTTCGTGTCTAATGTTGCACATGCGGCCTCGGTCTGTCTCTGCCGCTGTTGCCGTTGCTGTTGGTGGACCCGGACCTGGATATGCGTCCTCCATCCTACTCTAAAGTTTTAGTGCCATCATCCGCTCTAAAGGGCCGGGGGATAGGGGGCCCAGTGGTAGGGACGCCGTTACTGGTGTTGTTAGTGAATTAATTTCAACTGAATAATTTATGCTGAATTATTTTGGACGTATTAAATAGGCACAGAGGCTTTCCCAGAAATAGAGATAGAGGCACAGGCCTTACCTAGCGAGAGAGAGAGAGTGAGAGAGAAGGGCACAAGGTGAGAGATGGAGAGGTCACAGGACAGTGGGAAGTGGGGATAATACTCCCATGTGTGCATCGGACTGAGTGAGAGAGCACTTGGGCTTTGGAGCTTCGGGGCGTTACATTTAAATCAAATCAAAATGCTATTTCTGAAATTGATTTTTGAAATTTTAATGCCCATCCCAAGGAGCAGTAGAGATTAGAGGGATGGGCTCCAATGGAATGGTGCGATCAACTGGCGGAATTTAGTCATTTAGCTGGGGAACACTATGGGTACAGCCTCAGTTGAAGGGGCATTAGGTAGCTGTGAATATGCTGGATGAAGGAGAAGGAAATAAGCTCTCGAGTGTCGCAGTTAATAAAGGGTTTAACAGGAAGTTCTCTAGTTGAATGGGTACCCTAATCGAATAAGGATAAGAGTTCGTTGCTCATCCATATCTGATCTACTGCTCTACCTATCCTTACTTTAATGCAACTCTTTACCGATTTAGGTGCTAATTATCTCTATCGGAAACCCCCAATACTCCCCAGTCCCCTTCAAACTAAAGTGAACCTCCACAGCTCCGTGCACCATTTTGAAGCCTACTTTCAGGCTCTCGCTGCTAATTGTCGAACACCTGCAATGGCCGGTACTCCACTACAAGTGCCAAAAGTGACAACAGCCAACACGTGGCACGGCCACAGAGTTTTAGTGTGCTGTTGCTGCAATTGGTGTGGCAGCTGTCGCCGACTGGCGGCAACGCCAAGCCAAATGCAATTATCCAATTGCACGAAATGCACTTGGCACAATGTTTGTGGCCTAGACAATGCAACACTCGACACTCACACACACACAGCGAGTGCGAGAGTGTGTGTGGGTATAGGTGTATCTGTGTGTGTGTGTGTGTCTGGATGGTGGAGCAGAGCACACGCGAAATTCAATTAAGTGCGCACTAAACAGCGCAACGATTTCGATTTGGTTGCAACACTCCACAGGAGGAGGAGGAGCAGGGGGAGAGAGTGCAAAGTGTTGGAGTGGCAGCTGGGAAAACCGGGGTCATACCTGGAAATCTGTGTGGTAAGCCTTTGTTGTCCAACCTGTCCTCGAACAGCAGCATCAGCAGCAGTAGCAGCAGAGGCAGCAGCAGCATTGGGGGTTTAGTAATGGAGGCTTTCGCTAGTTTCTGCCACGAGCCGACGCCAAAAACGGGGAAATTCAATCAGAGCTGGGGGATTACATTGGGACCAGTGAGAGTGTGGGAGAGGGTGGGCGGAAGGGACAGCGCACAGACAGAGACGGAAGCGGATGCAGTGTTCACAAAATTGCATTAGCTGGGGCAGCCGTGGCAGTGGCAGTGGGGCAGATAAGGGGAGTTGCTGATGGTGGAGCCCCCTTGCTGCGGTCCCACTTGCATTGATGGCATTTCGAAATGAACTACTGTTTCAATCATATGATCAAAACGAAATAAAAATGGAGTTGAAAAGAGAGTTTAAATGAACATAAAATATTCACTTAATAGGAAGAGCCCTTCTATAATCCACTAGTGATAACTGAGCCGAAATCTTAACAAAGAAACCACCAAAAGATCTTGAAGAAAACTAAAAGAGTTTTAAATGATTTTCATTTAAAATTATTTGTGTTGGTTTCGTTTTGTTCTCTCCATTCGCCGCACAGGAAAATCGTCTGTTATTGAGACATCTGTGTTCTATTATCTATGTATGTATCTATGTTCTATGTAATTCCTTCTTATCTTAAACGATCATCATAGCCCTTTGGTGCGCCCCAGAAGAGAGCTTTCTCTGCTGTTGGTTCGTTCCCACTCGGCTTGCCTCTCTTTCTCCACAGTCTTCCTGTGCCTTCGTGGCCAGCCATATCCCCCCTTATATCACCCCACCCATGCCCATGTCTGGCTGCTGCCCTGGGTGTTGCACTCGCTGATTGACTTGTGTTTCCATTTTTAATTTGGTTAATTCAAATTAATCAAGCGACAGTTGATAATTTCTCCACGCTGCAAAATGCATTTGTCGCATGCAAAAAGTGCATTGGCATTGGAGTCATCAGCTCATACATATTCATACACTCTCATTCACATATTCACATTCATATTCATAGTCAGTGTTCCGTCAGTGTTGTCGTCCGACTCTTTCCGTTCCCGTCTGTCGTCCAGACGCATTTCCCCACTTTGTTGTTTGCTCAATTAATGCAATTGCTCGTTTTGTCTCTTTCGCTGGTCTGGTTGTTGTTTCTGTTTCTGTTCCTTTATTTTTTTTTTTTGTTATTCGTGACATTATTAATTTATATTTATATTACTTTTTATACGAGCAACGGCAGCTGTTGCATAATGCCCTCTGCTGTTGCTGCCGCTTCTGCTGCTTCTGCTGCAATTGCAATTGCATTATATTCTGATGCGTTTTAATTAATTTTGAGTTAATTTTGTATATTCCTTTTTTTTTTGGGCTTGTTTCAGGCACTCAAAGGAATCGGCGTCTGGCGGGGGAGTCATTGATGGTAGCTAAAAAAGTGTCTGGATAAGCCATGGGTTTTTGAACTTTGATTTGGAAATGGAAGGGAGTCTTTCCACTCTTTAAAGTAAAATCTATTTGAAATATTTACCTATCTGGAGTCAAAATCTTCTGCTGAGTGGTATTTTATTATTATTTTATTTATTATTATTTTACTCACCCATGATCCGCCCATGATCATACAATATATCTCTTATGGAATTATGGAAATTAATTGATGCACATTTCTATCGATTCAGTCCTTGTGAGCAAGAGCAGAAATCCCTCTCTAGCCATTAAATTACTCTCCTTAGCATCACGTATACGACACCATGCGACAACAATTATCCAACTAACCCACTTTCGAACTTAAATCTCAGCTCTTTCTCTCATTTCTCCGCCTCCTAAGCCGCCCCAAGGTCACACAGACACGACTGACCGACCTCCTTCTCTCTGCGACCTTCTGTGCGAGCAGCAGAAACAAAAGCGCTTCATAATGGACTTATCGGTCGGCTGAATCTCAGTTTGCCAAATCGCGACTAAACGAGAAGAGCACACACACATACACACACAGATACACTCTGGTATCTGTGTCTGTGTCTGTAGAGTGCAAACTAGAAAATGGCATAATTCAGACAGCATACAGACAGAAAGCATCATCATCGGCCTCAATGCAGCCATCCATCCATCTATGTGCATCCATCTACGCGTTCCTCGACGCGGGTATCCATGGGTATCGCATCTGTATCCACGTGCGCTTCGCATAGCGGAATCCCTGTGCCTCTCCCTGCGCCTCCCTGCCGACTGTTACCCCATCCCGCTGGCATTAGAGCCACTTAAACGCATTTGGAAAATTGCCTGCCCGCCCACCCACACAGACTCCCACACACACATACACCAGCAGCAGCAGCAGCAGCAGCAGCAGCAGTCTCTCTTCTTTTTTGTTTGTGGAAAAACTAAACGCGCGATAATTTCCATCTGAGGTGAGATGATATGATATGGTGTAGGGGAGGGTGAGGGGAATGGAGCTTGGGGGCATGCCTCATGCAAGTGATGAGGTTATCACTTGCCACAAAAGTAAAGTGCATCCGTTTTTAGACGTCCGTCCCATCCCCCACTGTCCGGCTGTAATCAAACTACTCGTAAACTGGCGCACAGTCTGACGCTGACGCTGATGATGATCCAACTTGGACGTGGGCTGTGACATATGTATTTGTATATATGTATGTAAGAGTAGTGCATAGCAAACAGTGAAGACTCTCGCAGATGAACCAGGCTTAGAAAGAATGAGGATGTTAGCTGTTGAAGCTGGGTCCATTAATTGCATTGATCTTACCGATTATAACCATTCATTCTATGAGTAAATATTTATTTAAAAATCATACCCCTTTCCCCACTGTATGCCAAAAGTATCTGCATATCTGTACGCTCTTCCCCGCCATCCCGCTGTCTGTCTCTTGGTGTTGATTGCAGTTTGGGTTTTTTTTTTGCTGGTTTTGTTTTTGTCTCGCGGCGCATTAAGCGAATTTGCGAGGTTCGAATTTGATTGTGTCAATTGGCTCGCGCCTAGAATCAGTCGCAGACCCATAGCCCATAGCCCAGACCCAGACTCAGAGACAGGCCCATAGACAGACCGGAATGATGCCACGAATCTGTGTAGTCGGTGGCCAGTGCCAGTGCCAGTGCCACCCACCCAGAAAATCAGCGCATGGAAATTGCAGCACACAATTTTTCTGTAAATTGAATTATGCACCAATGTGCAGTGGCAGTGGCAGCGGCAGTGGCCCCCCGCTACCTCACCATTTCTGGATGGTTGTGTGTCCGTGTCCGTGTCCAAGTGTCGCCGCCAATTGTCCCGAAACCCAAAACAGAACAAAAACCAAACATAACCCGAACAGAACGGAGCCCAAGTGCGATGCGTGGCCGTAGGCAACCCTTCAATTCATATAACATCTTCGGGGCGCCCGCATAGGGTGGTGGCAGGCCACACTCCCCCTTTGCGTTGATTCCCACTTTGGTTCCATGCTTTTTTTTTTTGTATTTTCTTTGTTTTCTTGTTGTATTATAAATATTTTGATTGAATTTTCTGTTTAATTAAAGCAAATTGTTTTGTGCATTTGTTCTGCTCATGACAGTGGGGGCTGCCTGCAGTGAATATATACATACATATATATATATATATATATTCACTGCATATACAAATAGAGCTTTACGCCTTGATGGGGGGTCGGTCGGTCGTTAACTGATTGAGAAGATGTCTGGGAGGAATGTCAGGGAAGTGTCATGTGAACGATGATAAGGTCTTGTGGGAATGATCAAAAGCTGGTTATGGAAGCAATCTGAAAATGTTGTAAATCTTGCAGAAAATAAATCATAAAAATATTGTTCTGCATCTTGAATGATACTACAATTTGGCAGAATTATTTTTCGATATATACAGCTATGATGTATGTATATGTATATATATATGTATGATTTTTGGGCTTTAAACTGAGTTGCTTTGAGACTTAGTTCAGATTATTTTTAATATATTTTAATATAAAGGATACTCCACCAAAATTCTCATAGATCAGAGTTCCAGAATTTCTGCATTTTTACATACACATGTCTACATTTTATGCTGTTCATCGATACATAAATTCTTCTATGAATTATATGAAAATTTTACCCCCAAAAGAAGAATTTAAATAATACATATGGATGGATAGAACCTGAATCATAAATCTCTCTGGCCAAATCAAAGTTTTCTGTGTTCCATTAGCTCTTCATAATTTTTGACTTAAATTTTATTCAGAACTTCTCTCCAAAAACCCGTTCTTTGACATTTATAATTCGTATATTGAGTTCCCCATATAAATGTTCCACATGTATCCACCCATCCATCCATATCTATCTTTGCATTGCCCAATCAATTTGGCCCATTTTCCATTTCCAAATTCAATTCAATCAAGCAATCAATAAATCAATAAACATGGCAAAAACCTAACCTCCAATGGGACTAACGGGAGCCAATAACCGTTTTGCATGATAATTCTATTTGCTAATTTAAATATGCCAAATTGTATTTCATTTCTGTGCTGCTGCGATGTCATCATCATCATCGCGGACCAGCACCAGTACGAGTACCAGTCCCCCCTACAATCCCTCTTGCTAGCACTCTTCTGCTGCGACCAGTGGGTACCCCATGCCCCATACTCACTGGCTGGACCAGCCAGTGTATCCCCTCCCTGGCTCCGGGAGCAGTGTTCCCCTAATTGAGTTGAACGAATCGAACGAACTTTGGCGACGAATGGCATGGAAAAAAAAGAAGCGAATGTGTGTGGGTTGCGGGGGAAAACATTGGCCAACTCCAATTGACTCCTCTGGATCCCTCCATGGCTCTGCCATGACCTGTGCGACTGGAGGGCGGGGGCGCTGGGTGTGGCGTCCAGTGGAGCGTTCAACGTTTGCATGGCTGCCAATTAATTTGCGGTTGATCAATTTAATTTGAAACTTCGTTTCGGTCTCTCTCTCTCTCACTCACTCACTCTGCCTCTCGCTTCCCTTCCTGCCCTGTTAATTTGTTGGCGCGCTTCGGATTCGCTTTGGCAAATAATTTGCCATTGATTTTGTATTCGGTACCCTTTTGCCGTCTCTTTCCAGCAGTCATCAATCCGTCTCTCTCTCTCTCTCTCTGACTGGAGGGCTACTCTCTTTTTTTTCTCTTTTAATTATCGTCAATTATTCAAACTGCATTTGGGGGAATGATCAACTTTTGGTCTGTCTTCAATTAGCATCGAGAAGGAGAAGTGGAGCAGGGCTGCACTGCAGTCAGACTTTCGCACGTTCCCCTGGGTATTCCCCAAGCTAAACTTCCTTTGAATCCTTGCTACTCGAATCCTTTATTCATATCCCAATTTCGGTTTTAATTCTTTTCTCGCTGGCTGCTTGCTGGCTTTCGTTGGCTTCCCTTTTGTCCCTTTTGCACTTCAAGTGTTCACAAATTTTGTGCGATTTCTCACAGGAAAGGCATCAACACAAACACTTTTGCCAGACACTTCACCACTCCACACACACACACACACACACATACAGAGAGAAGCCCATAAGGATGTGCGGGAGTGGGGGGGGATACTTGCAGACACTCAAGAGATGAGATTTTTATCGCATTTGGAACTCATTAGGAAATTTCCTTAATTCAAATTAAAAGCGTCTAAATAAATTATGCGCAAAATGTTTTTGTGTCTTGAATTGGAGTGGAAGGATTTTCAGGCGCAAAAGAAATATTTTGATTTATTTATTAATATTTATTTTTGAATTAAAATATTTGCCATCGAAAGAGAAATATTTCCACGCAAAATTAAAGGAATTAGTTTCATTACGCATTTTAGCATAGCAATATATATACATATATATCTATGTATTTTTGTATGTATGAATATTTAGTGTTAATTTATTCATGAGAACATTAGCCATAAGGATTGATAAGTACTTTCGGTTTAGAAGGCATATAAAACTAATCATAACCTAGAGAAGTATAGAAACTTTCACGGCTTTACATTGACTGTCAATACGAAAGGTTTTCAAATGCGATTTTTTCAATGTTTTTTCACATAACGTTTTAAAGGATTTCATCTACCATCTTATTATTTACATTCAGCTTTTTATTACACCTAAATGAAATTTATTCAAATTAATTCGAATATTGTTTTACCACAGAAGAAACGGCCATGTTTGAGAAACAATTTCTCGAGCTCATATTTTCTGAAGTACCTTCACACATGATACTGAACTACTATATACTGAACGCAATGGGTTAGGGTTTTGCCTAGACCTATTCCCGCCCGGAATTATCTCAGCAATTATGTACCAGAAAAATTGTAGGAATAAAAGTATGCCCTAAAAATCTCAGAGCTCTTTACCTTTTTTATTCCTTTGAAGACTAAGAATTTCCTATGCTATGAGCTTAACCATCCATTCACTCACCTTATTACCGTCCGTGAAAATTTTGGCAGCAATTCTTCAAGCGTGTCACAGAAGAAAATCCCTTTCCTTGCGCTTGCCTTTTCGGATTCTTATCGCTTTGCTGTGGCCTTGTCTTAGCTCTCGTTCCGATCAAGTTTTTCCACACTTTTCACAGCACACGAACACACGTGAAACTTTTGCTGGAGCTGGAGCTGAAGCTGAAGCGTCTAAACACTTTGAAGAAGTTTATGAAAAGTTCTTGAGTACAGGAATCACAAAAGGAGTGGAGTGCCAGTGTCAGTGCCAGGTGCCAGGTGATGAAGTTACTTCACAGTCAATCAGTGGTGTAATAGGCCGCAAAGCAAATTAAGGATTAAGTTGAAGTTTTTTGAGTTTCAAATGGGGTTTGGTTGGGTATGGAACACACACGTGGTTTAATTAGATGATGTTTGTTTGGGGGATACACTTTTGGGGTAGAAGTATAATCCACTTGATTTTCAGTTTTCAGTTTCAGTTTTGGTTTTCGTTTTTTTCAGTTTCGTCTTTCACACAGAATCCCAGAGATGAGATATGTCTGGGGGGCTACAGATTGTTGGATGTTGGATGTCAACCGAACGCGTGGAACGTCAGAATGTGAATGATCTAACGGCGCTTGCCACTGCCGCAACGTCAACGTCGCTGTCGCTGTTGCTGCCTTGCTGCCTGGCTGCCTGGCTGATGCCTGCTGCCTGCTGTTGTTGCAAATTAGATCTGCGCTGACGTCGCAGTCGCAGTCGCCGCCTCTGAAAGATGGCTGCAGCTGGAGAGGGGGAGTGGTTTGGGCGGGGGGTGGGTTTTTGATGGTCGTCGGTCTGTGCCCCTAAGCGCCGCCTTTGCCTCTGCTTTGCTTTTGCCACATTTCCCTTTATTTTTTACTGCCTGCCGTTGAAAGCGCAGGCGCTTTATGAGCAGCAAACCAAAGCACAGCCAGCTATCCCTCTCTCTCTCTCTCTCTCTCTGACGCTTGCCCTCTCTTTCGCACCCTCTCTCTCGCAGTCTCTCTCTTTCTGTTGCATGCAAGACAATTTTCTCGCGCATTTTCATTGTGGAAATTGAGTTTTCGGCATGGCTGAAGGAAACAACAAAAAAAACGGGGGGGAAACCCAAAAGGAGAAATGAAGGCAAAGCTTTGGAAGCTTTACCCCCTAACATCCCCCCCACCGACCCGTGTAGGTACTTTATTTTATTACACTTTATTTAGGTACACAGCGCAGGGTGGGTGAGGGGGAGGGAGAGGAGAGAACTAACCCCAAAGGAGTGAGCGAAAGAGAGCGCAAACAACTGAGGCAGGCCTTAAATTGGATTTTCATCGTTAAGTGTGGTGAATGGCAGGGGTTAGAGTGAGTGAAAGGGAGAGGGAGAGAGCGATAGGTGGGTGGTGGGTGGTGCCAGAGGGAGAGGCCAAGACAGAGTGGGGGAGCTGGAAGCTTTTGGGGCTTTGGGTGCGATGAAGGAACGGAAGGAACAACGGAGCAGTAAAAACGATTACTCACCGTTGGAATTTATTTTGGCCATATCATTCTCATGCCATGCCTCCCACTCACTTTCTTTCTTCTGTTCTCTCTCGTTCTCTGTCTTTGTCTCTCGCTCTTTTGACAACTCAATTTATTTTTATTAATTTCCCGAACAAAAAGCCGAGCAAATTCTAAGTGAATTTCATTTAATTTATTATCGGGCATTCCCGTACTCCCCCCCTGTATTATTTCTGCCCCAGACCAAATCCCTATATAATCCCGCAATTCCCAATCCCAGAGATCCGCCATCTTGGAACCCATCTATTATTGTTTGCCTGAATGGTTTCCCTTCGCAAAACCCTCACCCTGCGCCTCCTCCGTTGGGGGCACCTCTTGGGTCGTTGGCCACAATTACGAAATGAATTTGTTGCCTGCCACACACAGTCCCTACTCTGCGTCTTTTTGGGCGTTTTGGCCAAAACTATTCTTCTTCCAGCACTCACTCAGACATCCTCCCTCCCTCCCGCCCCCCTATCCTTGGGGGGTTGCCTGTCAGGCCCGCAAATTGGCGCCCTGATTTATGACTTTGTCTATTGTGGAGCTCCCCAAACTGCTCCACTAACATGCCCCATCATTAGTTTGTGTTTTAGTTTCATTTCCAATTCGAATTTCATTTCATTTTACGCTTAAATTCTGTTTTGTCCGCTTTGATTGTGTTTGGACATTTCTCCTCGCTTTTCTTTTCTTTTCTTCTCTTTTGGGGTTTTTTGCCGCTTCGGTTCGTTTTAGTGGAATTACTTGGTCCATAATAGATGAGTCTGGGATTCGTTTGCGACGCCAGCGGGCAGCATCGCATGGAAGGCGTGGCACGTTGCCTCATTCTGCAGCAACAGCAGCAGGCAGGCAGGCAGGCAGACTGGCAGGTGAGTGGAGTAGTTCGGTGTACAGATTTTTCTCCTGATGCAATTTTGGAGAGGGAATGGAGTGATCCGGATTTCTTATTGGTGAATGTTTTTCGGGTGCTACTGAGTGGCCAATAAGTGGCCGATAAGCCATCAAGCAGACTTCCATTTTTAAACGGAAAAGTATCAAGATTCTAAGGGATAAGTTCAATTATCAAATTGAGGAATAGCATATTTAATAAAATTTCCTTGGCATATCCTAATTGATACTAAATAGATTGCTGCTACTTTTCAAACGATGCCAGAATATGGAAAGCAAATGAGGTAGGTCCAGCTAATGGAAATGTCCGACAATGGCAAGTCGCTGTTGATCTATATCAACCTGCTATATGTACTATATTATATGTCCCTAAGATCCCTAGTATTCTTGTGCATTTTATGGACTTTCCTTTTGGCATTATTACTTACATATATATTTATTTATTTATTTATTTATTGTAAAGTATGAAAGGTTGCAGAAGATGCAGATCAATATTTGTGTTATGTTTTCTTTGTATCCCTATCTCAGGTGCTTTGCGTATCTTGATGTTGACAGAAAACATTGCTACTGGTGTCTTATAATAAACCTTTTCTTCGGTTTCTTCTTGGCCGAACTTCTCCCTTTCTCCTTCATTTCTTTCTATAGTTCTCTCTCTTCCTTTTGTTACACATTTTCCTCTACTTTTATTCCTCTTCCTTCATTTCCCTCTCCATTTTCTTCTTGTGGACTGTTGCAGGGTGCTGGGTGAAATTTATGTAATTTATATGGGCACTTGACGTCTAAATTGCCTGCAGAAGTCAGAGCTCCACCCACTCTAGCTACCTCCTATCCCTCACCGCCGCAAACAGCCCTCATCTTACCCCTCTCGGCACAGTTCCCCCTTCCACTATCGTGGAGCACGCTTTGCTGCCACTTTTTATATCATCTACTTAGCCTTAATGGCAAATAATTAATTTCCAGCTTCCGCTTTTGCCGCTGGCTCTAGACTTGTTCTACGCGAAAAGCCAAACCCCCAAGCCGCATCATCACCCCTCTCCGCCCACGTAGTAAATGGCCAACTGCAACGCCTCCCCCCATCGCCAGCACCAGCCTCCTCCCACTCCTCGTTCCTGGCCCTGGAACGACCATTTTCAATTTACAAATTGCTTATTTTTCGAAAACCAAATTGCGAGTGCCTTGGACTTGGACCAGAAACCAGGAAGAGGACCAGGACAAGTACCAGTACCAGGCTGGAGAGCAGCCTGTAACTGGATCCGGGACCTGGACGAAGAGCCAGAAGAAGAAGCAGTTAATGCATTTTACGTGCGGCCACAGTCCACATCAGAAAGGGGAGGGCAAGGAGTGGAATGGTGTGGTGTGCTGTGCTGTGGCAGTTATGTGCTGCGGCGAAGGCTTCTCAATTACGTTTATAAATTTTCCAGGCCCCCAAAAATGGCGCAGCCTCCGAAAATGAATAGCCTGGCAGAGACAGGAAGAGAAAGAGATCGCGAGAGAGCGATAAAGAGAGAGGGAGATGGCACTCTACCCATTTTGGGAACCACCCAAAAGTCCATTCAATACCCACTTTGTGCCCCACCAAAAGTGAAATTTTATTAACTTCTTTTAGGCCAAATTGCATTGCGGTTTATTTGAAGGCCAGCCCCGGTCCCCCAACCAATAAATCCACCCCACTTCACGTCCCCCACACCATTTGCCTACCCCACTTCATCACTTCGCTGCCGCCTCGTTAGCCATTGAACGATTCCCTTTTATTTATGATGCGACATTTCAGCTGAAATTCGTAGGCATGAAAAGAGGACCCAGAATTTATTGGCGCCATCAAAAATTGTTTTATATACACTGAAAGAAATTGATTCATTGAATCCAACTTCCCTCAAAAAATGTTCAACAAATGTATTGATCTGGTCTGATTGTCTGAGTTTTCAAGATTTTTGCTGCTGATCATCAGATTGTCTCAGTGTAGAAGCAGGTGCCACGCCCACTGGCTGTGGCACTGGCTAACCAAATGGCTAAACAGGGCCAAGACGCGTTTTGCGTTTTCGTTTTTATGGCCTACGCATCATTTGGCTGAAAGCTCGAGGACGGACTCCATTTCGGCCGCCTTTGCAATTGGCCGTAACCGAGGGGTAATGGGCGTGGGGATAAATGGTAATCGCTCTATGAAATGCCCAAATAAAATAAATGGCTAAACAGAATTAGAGTGAAAGGAGCCAAAGGACCAATGGATGTACGAGGTGCAGGAAAATGAGAATGGAGCGCATTGAAAGTTATTTATATGTATGTTGGGCAGAAAATTCAGCGGGAATTTTTTATTTATGATACGCTGGCTTTTACTTAAGTACGTTGAGCCATAACTAGTAAATATATGATTTGTGGTGGGTATTATTTGCATTTCGTTTTTATTGAATGAAAAGTATCGACAAGAGAATTTATTTTCTTTTGCTCTTTTTTTTAATTTTTCCTGGATCTTAGATTCGAGGTTTTCAAATCGCCAGATGGATAGACGACTGCAGAATATTTGTTGACCATAGCTAAATTTCTGCGTATCATTGGACTCGACTTATAATATTCCAATTTGATATACATATGTATTCCCTTCGATTCTTATCTACCTCTTTAATAGTACAAATTTCCACGAAAGATCTTTTGATCGCCATCTTCCAGCAGACATCATTTACTAGCCATAATTCCGTTAAATTACTTGGTTTCTCTCTCGCTCCTTCCCTCCCTCCTCTCACACACATTGCTGCTATTTTCTTGCTCTTTCGCTCTCACCGAAAAACCAACAAAATCAATTAAAAGCGCAATTAATTTGTTTGACAGCTGGAGAAAAGAGACGCCAAGCTTTTTGGCTAGATAAAGGGAGAGGGAGGTGGAAGGAGATGGCAACAACAGTGGGCGGGCGAGGAGTGGGTGATGTGGAAGAGAGCACCGTACCAGGCAAAGCTCTCTTCATCTCTTTCTCTGTTGTTGTTTGCATGATTCTGTCGGAATAATAAAAGTAATTTAATTTTAATGAAATTGTTAATACGAAAACAATTTCATTTTGTAAAAAGTTTTTGCGCAGTCGGTGCTGGCAGACGGGGAGCAGTGAGATGAATGGCAGGATGATAGAGAGAGTCAGAAAGAGGGAGGCAGCTCAAATTGCTCGTGACAATACGCACACACACACACACATGGTAGACAAACAGAGAAACAATAAACAAAAGCGTGTGAGAAAAAGAGAAAGAGAAAGCCAAAACCAACAAGCAGCAACAAAGTGAGAGGCCGAAGCTTTTGATACCCTTGCAGATCTAGCTATAGGAGCTGCCATGGGAGCTGTATGATATAGTATTGCGATTATGAAAAAATATTACAATAGCACTATGAAAATATCTTTAAAATTAACACGAATTTCTAACAATTTACCAAATTATCTTCACATATAAACAAGAATCTCTTACATAAAGGTATGTATAGTTTTACACAGATTTATCATATTATAATATATAGAAAACTAAATTTATTAAGCAAGAAATGAGAAATGTGTTTGCTTGTGGTGTTCTACATTGGCAACATCTGATAAAAATAGCATTACCCTCTCCCAAGAGGTATATTAAGCACATGCAACAACAACAAAGATAAGTCAAATATGCCGTCGGAAGAGCAAAAGCCACAAACAGTAGAGGGAGAGCGAGAACACCAACAAGAACTGTAACACACAAACGAATGGCAGGAGGAAAGCATAGAGAGAGAGAGATTGGGCGAGGGAGATGGAAAAAGAGCCGGAGAAAATACGAAAAATGAAATGCTGATGCGAAGATTTAATAAATGAAATTGGTGTGTGATTAAAAACACAAAAACCAAACGAAATCCATCTAATCAACTTTTCCTGCCGCCTCGTCTCACACTTCTGTCACTCCACCTCTTTCGCCATGCTCTCTCGCAGAGGACGTCGACTGCAGCAGAGCAGCGACGCAGCAGCAGAGGTTGGGTGGTTAGAGTGGGTGGGGTTTTGGGAGCCTATTTCTTGGAACGCCTTCTTAAGGGAAATGGTGATGAAGGACGGGTTTTTGGTCTTTTCTTATGGAAAATTGTTCAGGAAAAATATAGAAAATTATCCCAGTTACTTGATCAGAATTATTTAAAAAAATTATATTAATTTGTAATACAACTTTTGTATTATTTAAGTAAAAATATATGCTGAAATATCGGTGCTAAGATTTCCCTGTTTTGGTACTTTTTCTCTAACTCCGCCCCCATTTCCGTCGGTAAAATGGCTGTTAATCGCCAAATACGCCTGCAGATGGTGCCACATAACATCTGACAAAAGCTTGCTGCCAGGGAACTGATTGCTGCATTTTGTTTGCCGCCACTACATGACAGAATACATTTTTATTCACAAAAGATGGCGCCAGCAAACTGCAACGCTGTTTTCAGGGCAGTATTTCAGCAATCGACTACGGCACAGCTCTTTTCAGGGCGATCAGCAAAGTTATCGAATTTGAATTAACGAACAATTTTGCTAAAAACAATAATATTTAGTAATATTCATTTAGGGAAAAGTATGAATTACTGTGTTTAATCACGATTTCAAAAACAATAAAATTCAGTAAAAACAATACTCATTTATGGAAAAGTTTCAGATACAGCGTTTAATCACGATTTCAAATAAGTTTTCCACTTAAACTAAATCCTTCATAAAAGTAGAAATTAAATCCATTAATAGGGGATTTTCGTAGTGTTAGGATTAATATTGATTGGGGAATTACAAAGTAGAACCGATCGCGGCCTGGTCTTGACCGACTTTCAAGGTAAGCCGGGGAGATACAGTATACAGTAGCTGCGAGCAGTAAACGAGCATCCCAAAACCCCACCATGATTGATAGAATCGATTTGTTCCACCTGATTTGCAAGAATGAAATCTAGTAAAAGGTGAGGCATGCCAAGAAATGCTCTCATTTCTCATGTTCGGCGTTCTGAATCTACATATCAAACGAGTATTTTGTGTAATATCGACACCCCATCTAAATGAACCTTTTCTACCTGCTGTTTTTTCTCTCTCCCGCTCTCACTCTATCTGCTCCACTCTCTGTTTTTCTGTTGTTGTGAGGCTCCAACGTCGTTGGAGCTCTGTTCACTGCGCCGCGTTCTCATTGTGTTTTTTTCTTTCGGCTCGTTCGCTTCTGTCCCGCTAAAAACGGTGTGCGCGCGTGAGTGTGCGTGTCTGTGCTCTCTTATAGTTTCTGCGTTTTGTTTTTGTTTTACGCGCTAGCTAGTCGTACGATCTATCTAGGCTCCAACTCTCGCAGAGTGAGCGAGAGCATGTGTGCTCAATTCTTATTGCTATTCCATATGTGCAACTATTTACAGTAAAATGTAAAGTCTCGAACGAAAGAAGTATAAAAATGTTAATTTTAACAAATGCAAAAACCTTAATGACGGAACAAAGTTCATAGAAAAATACAGGAAAATCATGTGAATGCAGTTTTATAGTTAGACAGGCAGTAAATGGGAGAGCATCAGAGAGGGCAAGAGAGAGCGCGCAGCACACGCTCTCATCCGTTTGACATTTTAGTCCACATTTTAGTGGAAAATTAATAAGCTAGAGCTTTGGCTTGCATTGAATTAAAAATTCGTTCCCCCTCTCTGCAGCCGATGCAGCGTGACGCATTTTGTAGGAGATTTTCCACTTGACAATGGAAAACTCCAGAGATCCTCTTCTTGGCCGTGGCTTTTAGCCCCAACTTGTGCGATCTCTTTCACACTCTTAGTTCTGTCGCCCTTCGGAACAACTGCATTTTTGCGTCGCATTTCCTTCTTTTGCTGTTGTTTCTCCTGCTGCCTGGCATTCTTCCTCGTCTCCTCTTCGCCTTCTGCTCGCTTTTGTTGCTGTTGTTTGGCACACAATTTTTTTCCAATTTGTGCGCCTCGCTGCTGTTTCTGTTTCTGTCTCGCCGCCGCGGATCTATTTTTAGCAACAGTATTGTTGTTGCTGTAGTATTGTTGTTGTTGGTTAACTACGCTACGCTGGCAGCAGCAAACTATGCAGAGCGAGAGAGAAAACAATCGAGTAAAAGAGCACAAGAGTGAATAGTACAGTTGGGCCTCGAATGAAGAAAACAAACCCTTGAAAGAATAAAGCGTAAAGTTGAGAGTGGAAAGAAGAAATAACCGAAATGTGTTGTTAAATATAACGAGAAAATGGTGCAAAATAAAATTGTAATAATTAAACAGTTTGTGCCTTTGAGGATTTTTCACTGTAAGAACCAGAGAGTCATCAAGAGAGCAATAAATACCAACAGTAAATGTGTATAAAACGAATCTCCACTGTACTTTTGACTCGAACGATAACAAAAACAGGCAAAGAGAGAGAGTGCGAACGTGAAAAGAGCGCGCGAGTGGGTCACACAGTTGGACCTCGGTTGAAGAATTTGACGTGGAATATATTTTAGGGGAGTTTGCTGTAAAGTGAAATGTGTAGTGCGAAATATCCAAAACCATATTCCAAGAATAAATTAAATCTTACAGTAGTTGGTGTCGTAAAGAGTTCCAATATAGGTGTCTCCACTGTACCTTTGACTCAGGTGATAACAATAACACACCAGTGCGAGCGAGAGAATCCACTAATACACTTGTTTGATCGCGCTCTCTCAATGTCTTGTCTTTCTCTCCCTCTCTCTCTGTCATCTGTCATTCGCGCTCTCTGTCTAATAACATTTACATTTTAATGCCTAATTTCATAGAAATCAAGTGGAAAAGACACGAGAAAAGTGAAACAAGAAAACAAAAGTGCAGCAATTGATGACGCTCTCTGGCCTGCACTCGCCTTAATTTTGTGCTTCCTGTGGAATTAACGGAGAGCAAACGCAAAGCGTAAAACAGAAATGAGAGCGTGAGCAACAAGTGGAGGCAGACCAGACAGACGCAACTTTCTTCTGGCAAAAGCCGGCTGAGCGGGAGGGAGCCAACCGCCGCCCCAATCATCCATCAAAAGCAGGCGTAGAAGCAGAAAAAACGTGCAAAGAGGAACCCGATCAGGAGCGACCGGGAAAAAGAAGTGTAAGAGGAATCATATTGCGCGCTCTTCTTGTTTTGGCTCTGGAATTTCTTCAACATGTAAGCTTCCTATCCATATACCCTGTATTTTTAAGGTATATCTACGAACGGTACTCGAAGAGTGTGAGGGCGGGGTAAGGAGAATATTATGTGGTAACTGTAACTGTAACTACATCGCGGACAAAGTTCATGGTGAGAAAAATATCAAAAATATCACAACTTCCAAATATTATTGTGTTCAGCAGTAGCCGTATGTAGTACTGGGTATCCCTTAGTTGCTACCACGCAATATTTTCCTTAATACTCGCTTTAATATGCAATTATTGTCCGTTGCCTGGTATTTGCTCAACGGCGGCATTATTTATTTATGGATTTATGCCGCCTACAAATTTCCGATTGCACAATCGACAACAGATCGGGCCGGCCTTTGCATATGAACGACATATGTATGTATAATAAGTCGCCCCGACTTATTCGAGCGCCCTTAAGTCGTTGTCCCGCTTACTCATTCACTGCTTGCCCTTGTGAGTGCATTGAATAATCAATGGAGTAGAGGAGTCGCGGCTCAGGGCCCAAAGCCCTTGTTTTTGTTGTCGTATGAATATCATACCCCTTGAGTATTTTCGCGGGTGGGAGTATTGGGTTGAGTCATAGTAGGGCATTGTATATGTCCATCCTTATTTTTTTGGAGCCTAATTATTGGTGGTTATTTCAAGATGTTTGCAGAGCAGATACTTTTTTAACAAATTAAAATGATCGAGCATGTCCAGAAAATATATATTCACCGCAAGGATATCTACGGAAATCTCCACGTGATTCGACCTCTCTAGCCACGTAATGCCTTGCGGTTTTATAGCTCTTTCATTACATGGCATATTCGAAGCGATCCATAGTTGATCCCCCAGAACGAACAAAGCACGTTGTTGATTTGTTTTTCGCTTTGTTTGCTTCAATTTTATTTATAGAATTTTTGTCATAAAGTTTAGCAAACAAATGAACAAACCAACCAGTGAAAAATCGCTGACTATTTCAATTTGTTTTCGTTGAATTTACGGAGTGGTGTTGGGGTGTGGTGTGGGTTGTCTGTGTGCCTTACAACTGCGCAGATTTCAAGTGTAAAATTATTTATGGGGCTTCTATTCGTACTATTTGCAAGCGAAAAAACCCTTATCTAAGGAAATGCTGGGATTTGCACAACAGCTGTCACCGAAATGGAAAGAAATTACAGACTTTATTTGAGTAAATAAATTGCTTTTTGCCTTTGAAATTCTGAATGTTCTCAATGTTACAATCGTACTCGTATATTTTCCAAGCTAAGTCGCAATTGGAAAATTCGTTACCAGGGTTCTGAATTCCATGTTATCTGTAGATGGTGCAATTTGCAATGGGGAAAATGGGATACAAGGAAGTGTTTTACAATGAATAAAGTTCTTTGTGTGACAAAACAAGGAAATCAAAGGTATCTGGGACAGACCATAGTTCTAGTTTTAGAGAGTTTTGATCTTAAAAAACTCTTAAAATCTCTTTCTGTGCATGAAGTTTACTCTAGCCGAACATTTGATCCATTCTTCATTTCATGACTTCCATGTTATTTTTATTTATTTTATTTTTGTAGTAAACAACGTTTTGGATTCGAATTCGTTTTTGTTTATCCGTCATATCATTTGGCACTGGCATTTCCCTGGCATTACCATTCCGAATAATAAATAAACAGAGTGTCAGATCTTAAATTCTCGCAGATCTTTTTCTCACTGATTCCCCCCTCTCGAAAGAAGACTCTTTTTACCGCTAAGCAGTTTGTTTTGGAATTTCTTCTTTCGTTTCTTTTTTCGTCTGTTTTTCATTGCAGCCCCCAAGACGTGCCCCTTTTTCAGGTCGAGTTTCGTTTCGAGAAAAAAATGCTTAAGCCGCATATTAATTTTATGTCCAATATACAATATTAACAAAAGGAAAACCAAGCAACATAAAAAGGCAATACATTTTGAAAAATAAAACGCCTTAGATCGGGTTTTTTCATTGATAAAAGTTTAATATTTTAAATGAGTTTCAAAAGAGCTTAAAACTTAAGAGAATTTTCTTACGTTTGCTTACGTTGCATGACATATTTTCTCTCTCTCCTTTCGGCTCTCTTCTCAAATCTCTCTCACAGTCTCTCCGCTCTTTTAGATCTTTGCACAACAGCTGTTAATTTTATGCAGAGAGTGAGAGAGAGCTTTTTCCCTTTCTGAAAGCTCCTTCGAGAAAAGTGCTGCCAGATTGTTTAAGAGTGCTCAGCTGATATTTTGGCGGATAATTTGAATTTATTTATTTAAATTTTTTATTAATGTTACTGAATGTCATCATCATTGGGGTGATTCTGTGCAGCATTGGCAGACCTTATTAATGACATATTAATATTATTTAATGAAAAATGGGAAATATAATTAATGGGGATATAAAGATTGTGTATTTGTTTTTTCATCAAATTTCTTCGTACAAACAGTGAGCAAAATAACAGAAAAATGTGTTGTTTCTCTGGAGTTTTACTTTCAGCTGTTATCTTTTCCGCATTTCTAGATTTTCCACTGGCCCACACCCACGAATGAATGTTCAATGAACCACTCATAGTGGGGCGTGTGTATGTGTTTTCTGTCACTCCATTCTGTGGCTGCGGCTCTGTTGCCGCCCAAATAACCTTTCGATTGCCCCAATTAAATATTAAATATATTGTATAATTATTGCCCATACGGGGTACGCTCCACTCCACTCGCACATCGAGACACGACGCCTTATCAAATGTCGCCCAATGTCGCCGTAGCCGAATGCAAACAAAAATACAACAGAGAGAAAACAACCTGCTATCGATGGATCCCCAGGGGCGTAGGGATCTGGAAAATATGAGGGGAATCTGTGAGTCACCCCCTACAGTGAAGCCTCTGTCTGGGGCTCCGATCAATGCACGCAACGAGCCATTAAGATAGAGACTTAAATGTATCTGTATCTTTTCCGAGAGTTTCCATTGGATTTTCCACTACGATTTGCATGCGAAATAATTGAATAATATTTTGATATTTACATGAAATCACGTCCCACGTGAAATTACTATTTGCATGTCTGTCTCTCTCTCTCTCGTTCCCCTTACCTGTCTCTGTCTCTATTTTTCTTCCTCTCTGTAGAGCTCTCCCCCTCTTTGTCCACCTCTTTAGTTGATAATATTTCCAGTTGCAGTCGTAACATTGTTTATTATAAATAAATCAGTTGCCCCTAAACGCTGCTTTTCGCATGACTGCAGCGCCATGAAGCAGCAGCAATCGATTGCATGGAACAGGCTTTTATGATTATAACAAATAAGGAAATAGAGAATAGGGAGTATAAAAAGAGAATAAAGAGAGCGGGAGAATGAAGCTATGGCTGTAGCGAAATCGGGGGTAAGATCATGTAATTTATAGAGTTTCATACCCTCAATAAATAATCCATTGTGTGCGTTCACCATAAAGAATGAATGTCGCTGTTGGTCCTACGATTTTTCTTGTGAAAATTGGTGTCAATTTTCCGCAGGCTATCAACACTGCGTATGCGTGATATTTTGCTTGAAAGCCAAATTCAATGAAATATGAGAATAAAGGCCATGGGTCTTAAATAGAGATATAAAATTCAAATAGGGTAAATAATGGTGCGATAAAAACAAGAAAAATAATTGGAATTAACAGGCTTATGGGTAGATGGAGTGATATAATATTAAATTTTAGTTTTTATTACTTTTTCTTTTGGTTTTAAATTAAAAACCCTGTAAATCGTTGCAACAATTAAGATGTCAACTGGCATATCCTTTAAATCACCAACGAAGTTAAATGGTGGCCCCCAAGCAGCCATCTGCGATCTCATAAATATGCAAGTAGGGTATCCATGGGATACCCCATGCCGATCCACGTTCAACAATGCGTGTGTGCCACTGGTTGCATGGAGGTTCTCCTAACGCTGTTGCTGCTGCTGCCCCGAAACACTTTTCATTCTACTTCGGTACTCCATACTCCTTTGCATGCTGTCGAGCAATTAGATTGTCAATGGAAATGCACTTTTGACATCACTGTGTATGTGGCGTATGTGTGCATGTACTTTTAGCCAACACTGTGTGCTGTGTGGCTACTATTATTATTTGGATTTAAACGATCTCTTGGCAGCAGCAAACGCACGAATCAGAGACCACCAGCCACAAGGCGTAAACTTCCAATGATCAAACAAGTGTTGGAGAGTGCGTGTATCTGTGTATGTGTGTGTACATGAGAGTATCTGTAGCTGTGTGTATCGTCTGAGTATCGTTTGTGTGTATTTCAACTGGTTTTTTTCTAAGCCAAATTGCGAGTTTTAATTTAAACGACAACCACACAAACGAACGAAACCGAAACGTCAGGCGAAAACGCTTCTGGGGTTCACTTCGATAACAAACAACGTTTGGAGCAGTCGCTGTCAACGCTGTCTCTCTCTCTGCCACAGTGAACGTTCGCTCTGCTCTGCCACAAACTACTATCGATAGCCGCCTCTTACGATCGTCGCCGGAACACACGCCAATTCCTCGATTCATTTCTCGAGCGACGCTCAAACGGTATACAACTGATCGGATCGAACTGATCGGAGAGTTTCCCCCAAGCGACGCCTCGACTCGACTGTCTCACCAATTAATTAAAGATACTCCGTATCCGTATCCAACAGATCGTTTCGTATCCACAGAATCGCGTATCGCGCGCGTGTGTGTCTGTGTGTGTGTGTGTGCAATCCTCTGGTGCTTTTTTTCTACCCCGTTTTGTGGTGTTCATTAAAAGTGCAAATTGTTTACGAGAATTTTGCTGCCTCTCGAAAGGTAATTTCCTTTTACGTTTCCCATCAGCGTCCCGTCCCAGGCGTGCAATTTTCCTTAATCGAGTGTGTGCGTGTGTGTGTGTGTTGTGTGTATGTGGTGTGTGTGTGGTGTGTGTGTGGTGTGTGTGTGGTGTGTGTGTGTAACGTTTTAATTAATGCCTGAAAGAAGCGAAGAAAGAAGTGAAGAAAAACCCAAAGAGAAGCGAAGAGTGACGACTCCTGCA